TCAGCATTACGGGGTTGGATTGGGGGGTTAAACCACCAAATGGTTCCCGAGCGCGGCTGTGTCTGCAGCTCACCGCTCCCCCAGGGGATGGGTCAAATGCGGAGAACAAATTTCGCACACACACCTGTGTGTGTGACAACTAATGGGACTTTAACTTTAAATAATTAATCTTATTTAACTTGCAGCTCGTTGGATTTGCTTCCATCCAGAGCATGCGACAGAAATATTAGTATCAATCAATGTCAAATCCATGTAGTCGGTCCTAATCTTTACTGCTTTAGGCTATTTAACACTTTAGAGGAGGCAGACTCAAGAGGGTACTACATCCAGCTGGGAAAAGGGAGGGGGGGGGGTCAAAGGTCATGTGGGTCAGAGATCCTTGTGAGGGCATCTGTAGACTGACGGGCTGAAATAAAGGCAACACAGAAACACACAATCAGTGTGCTGATAAGGAAGCGTGTGGTTCTTTGTATAGTGTGCGCGCGTGTGTGTGTGTGTGTGTGTGTGTGTGTGTGTGTGAGAGAGAGAGAGAGAGAGAGAGAGAGGGATCACCGCTGCACAGCATGACAGGGAGACAGGCAGGAACGCTCAGCTGTAGCCGTTTGTCTCGAGTCATCTAGTAAAGCTAATCCTATCTGGAATCTGGGATTGTTAGAGACAGAGGGAAAAGTTCAGGAGCTTCCGGTGAATTAGAGAAATTTAGCTTTAATATGAGTTTATTATTACAAGTATTTTAAGAAAGATGTCTGCTGCAGAATAAGTGAAAATATTGCAGTCCTGTAAATTTTAAAGATAAATTACTCAATTTTTTTGTTTTGTATAAATGAGCACAAGAAATCCAGAAATGTTCTAAAACAGGAATGAATGAAAGATGCACAAATGGCTGCTGAAATGAACATTATCAGACAGGAGGTAATGTTATTTCATAAGTAAGATAACTCTGTACAAAAGTATTACAAGTAGTAAAGATCAGGTTGAAAAAAATATTTAGAGCAACAATAAATAGAATGCTGAAAATAAAGTCAGATTTTTGCAATTACCCAACATAAATATATGTTTATACCTCTAAACTTTAACATAATTTATGTTTATTCATTTAGCAGACTACAATTTATAACCTATGTGATCTGTGGGGGAAACCGGAGTACCCGGAGGAAACCCACGCATGCACGGGGAGAACACGCAACTCCACGCAGAAAGGCCGCAGCCGAGTTTCGAACCTGCAACCTTCGTGCTGCGAGGCAACAGTGCTAACAACTGCGCCACCATGCACCAGCATGCAATTTTATGTTAACCTTAAATGAAAACTACCAAAAAATGAAATATTCATGTTTACAGCGAAATGTTTCACTTTTTTTTATGTCACTGAAATCAGATGTCCGTTATTATCTCTGGGCAGCACAGTCGTGTTGGGGCAACATGACAATGTGAGTGTGAAGCTTTAGAAATAAAGCTGCTTCACACACATCATAACTGTCTGATCCTCCCATGGGAGACGTTTCCTCTGTGTGTGTGTGTGTGTGTGTGTGTGTGTGTGTGTGTGTGTGTGTGTGTGTGTCTTACACGCCACATTCCACAGATGAAGGGAGGCGTAAAGGGCAGTGGCCTCACTTCACCGGAGCTGTGGGAGGGGGTGAGGACGGAAGTGACTGATGGCTGAGAGAAACCGACGTGTTGAACAGGTGGATGTAACACCCGAGTGCTGATTACCACGTCTGACCACTGATAACATCAGGTAAGTATGAGAAACCCTGTAAGAAATTTGGCTTTTAATTTGTTTTGTTTTTTGAGAAAATCTTCGACGGCTGAAGATTTTCCAAACGGACAACCCTGGAAAATGAATTTGAAAGCAATAAAATGAATCATTTGGTCTAATTTACTCAGAGGTTTTGCTGCAGGAGCCTCTTCTAGACTGATCATATCTGGAAACAGTCCAAAATGTGGGAATCTTTGATTTAACATTCTGCTAAAGTGTCACAGTCCAAATCAAAGGAGCGAAACCCAAACAGCACAATCACCAGAACAAAAGCAACCAGGCAGGATGTATTCAGGACTAACTAAATAATGAACAACAGGGGAGACACAGTCAGCAATTAGACAGGGCGCAACAGGAAGTGAACAAATAAACTGACTTTACAAAAAAGAGCAGTGAGTAAAGTTGGGATGATGCAGAAAAACAAAGTAAAAGATAAAAAGGAGAAGGTTTAAATATAATAAACAAGTCAGCAGTGCTAACCAAGGTGATTCTTGCATCATTACATTGAAAGAACAGAAGTACTAAGTTAATGAGAACATAGAACAGACGTTTTAGAAAATAATTACCTTAAATTGAATAGAAAATCCCTATAAAATAAAAATGCAGTGCACCCAAAACAGTTCCATGAGGAGCTCCAGCAAAGGAGCATTTTTTTAAATGAACAAAGAAACTCCTGCTGGTCAGGTAGGATTTAAACCAGCATAAAATGGAATAATTGCAGTAAAAGTTGAGTGAAAAAGGCACTAATAAAGAAGAAAAATACTTTTCCTAGCTGGTGTGTAAAAGTGAAGGCAAGACACACAAGTTCTGAAGGCATCACGGGGCTTTTATTGTGAAAAAGAAAACACAAAGGTGATGGGAAGAAAACTATTTATAAAAATGTTTTAGAAACTATTTTTTTTAAAACGTTGCAGATTAAAGCCGATAAGTAAACAATGTTTCGATGAACCGACACAAGAAGTTAATGCACAAAAAATAAGAGCGTCATAAGAGCCTGGGTGATAAATTACAATAGATAATGCACAAATAGATAAAAACAGAAAAGAAAATCAGCTAATTGCTAAATAAAAAAGTTGCATAAAAACCCCACCAGGGTTCCTCAAAAGTATTTTATCCAAATGACCCCAGTTGTAAGTAATGTTGTTGTGGATGTAAACAAATCTGCCCTGAGAATCGTCCTCCTGACAAGAAGATTGTTTACATTAGGCTGCCCAGCTGCAGCACAATGCCCACCATGGCACGTTCCAACACTGCTGCTGCCACTAAGAATGGACTTCCCGCCAAAACACCCAGAAGATTGTGATCTCATCCTGGACCCGGAGCGATAAGTCTTAATTACGCCACAGAAAATAGCTCCAGCAGAGCCAAGTGCACAATGACCTTTGTCCCACATGAAGGTGGATTAAGAGTTGCTTTCCATCCAATACAAAAGTTGAGCCAATCAGATCAGATGAAGTCCCGTAAATGCACCATAGTATAGAGCTCCGGACGTCACGTGACTCTCAGAGAGTAGACGCCATGTTGGCAGGCAACAAAGGTAAACAAACTGAACGGGATCTGCTTGGATTTTACTTCGTTGGAGTTTACTTCACACTTTAAAACAGAAGAAATCATTTTATATAGTCAGAAATTAAATAGACTAAACATCTCCGACCCTTACCGTGCCCCTGGGATACTTTTAAAAACGCCAGAAGCTGTCGAAGCGAGCTTCTTACCGGACCTGGCTGGGGAACCCCTTGGCATTCCCCCGGAGGAGCTGGCCCAAGTGGCTGGGGAGAGGGAAGTCTGGGCCTCGCCTTAGGCTGCTGCCCCGCGACCCGACTCCGGATAAGCGGATGAAAATGGATGGACGGATGGACAAATAACAGATTTACATGTAAGAAGTTTAAATAGAGTGCTGTGCTGTTTGAATGTATAAACTGAACGTCAAGAGAAATCACTAGTTTGATTTTTTTTCCCGTGAATAACATAAATATGTCAGGCAGGAGCGTCTCAGGATCTGTCTGAGATCCGTCTCGGTGAGACAGATAATAGCAATCTAAAGTGTTTTTTATGTGTGATCTGACAGTTGATCAACCATTGCTTAAAAATTAAATACAGCTTAGCCGGTTAATTGCTGTGATCATAAAACATGTAAACGGCAGCACGCAGAACTCACGAGGCAACATTTTATGTGTCGTTTACTTGTTGCTATGAGTAATTAGACAGAAAAAGCCACGCCAAAATAAGTTTAGGAAGCCCACTAAGAATTGTAATAAAAGCATTTAAAATAAATACCACACACAGTTGAGGAAACGTTGGTTTAAGTACCTGATATGAAGCGGTCGCTGCATAAGTGAAAACCTTTACTCTCGGGACCCCACAGTTTCATTTTAGCCCGGTCACTAGTGCGTTTTATTACAACGATCCAACGTTTGCGTCGCTCCGGATCTTGGGGAATCCTGTAGATGGCTCATTCCTTATGTCGTCCGCGTCTGTTCTGCATCCTGGGGCACAACAGGAATCTACCATATTTCCCGTCTGATTTGAGTTTTCTGACAATAACAAATAGCCCAGATGCAGGCTTCTGCCTGCCAATATGGCGCCGTTTCGATTTGATCTGTTGCATGCCGGGAGAAGTGACGTCAACTCCCGGAGCTCTATACCAACACAGGTGCCTCCACGTCCCTCTCTGCTGTGCTTCAGCTCCGCCTACACAGCTGCTTCCTGCAGAGGAGTGAACGCTTTTTACTGTAAAGTTCCCACATGAAACGCATAAAATGAATTCCAAGAAATCCCTAGAGGCTCAAAACCATCTGCGTCTGTTTTTAAAACTGCATAAACACAACGATTATTAATTACACTGGTGTTTTAGGTAAATTTATTACCATTAGTGTGCTACTGTCAGATTTGTAAACACTATTTTCACCAGTGGACTTGGGATGGACACAGCCCAACATCATGAAATGTATGATAAAATGTACACGAATTAAATTTTCTGCTTTGCTGTGTTTTTGTCGGATTTAACATTTATAGCGAAAACGTTTGGCTGAAAAAATAGCATCTGTAACAGGACCTTCCAATTCTGTATGAATGTTTTTACAATAAGGTGTGCGTAACTTAGGTCAAAAAGAAAAAATGAATATTTGGTCTTTTTAGCTAAACTGTAAACAGTTGTCAAGCTTGTAAAATTAAAGAAAGTGGAAGAACGAGTGAAATTAAATATTATTGACTTGCACAAGAAAAGTCCAAGAAGTACAGAAAATTAAATCAAATAAAATCTTTATTAAACATGTTTAAAATATGATTTGATGTGAACTACACACAACTATAGGGATGAATGACAGAGAAATTGTAAAACACACTCACAAAAAAAAAAAATACTCTGTACAATATGCATACAAAACAAAGGACAACCCTTAAAAATCCATCTAGAAATGCCCCGGATGCTTGAAATATTTGAGTGGCACCCTAAACGTCTGACTCAACCAGCTTGTTCACCTCACTTGAGATCTCTTCAGCAGACGTTTTTCTTTTTACGACAGCAGAGTGATGAGAGCATCCAGAAACTTGCTCCTGTCCTCCGTCTTCAGTTCGATTACTGCATAAAGAAACACAATTAAAAAGATCATTTAAAACAAAAAAACTGCAGAAATGAGACACATTCCAGCTCCAAGCTTTCATTTGAGACATATTTTAGGATTGATGATATTGAAAGGAAGGGAAATGAGCCAATGAGGTACAATTGAAATAAGCACAACGCTGCCACCTTGTGTCTCCAGAGGAAATTACATCCGCTTAAATAAATCAAAGTGAGTCACTCACTTGAAGTGTCGAAGTGATCATGCAGGGTTCTGGAGCTGGTGCTCTCTGCAGCTTTCTCAAACGCTCGACCAAAGAAACTTGAGTTGGGACGAGGAACCAGGCAAAGAAAATGATTGATTAGTTTAATCCAAACTTTGACTTGGCTTTTATAAAACTGGATATAACCGACTCCCGCTTTGCAAAGAGCTTCCACTCCGAGTGAAAACCTACTTTTTTTTGTCGGACGTCTCGGACTCTGGTGGGATTCCTGCAACAATGACCGTTCCCTTCTCAACGTCCTTGGGAGCGGCCATGATGAGAGGAAGCAGCTTGCAGCGTTTGTTTCTCGTCTAAATGACCAGAATGCAGAGCGCCCAGATGAATGTTATTACCGTATTTTCCGGACTATAAGCCGCTACTTTTTTCCCACGCAGCTTATAATGAGGTGCGGCTTTACTGAAGATTTGCCTTCGCCTGCCGAAACAGTGCTGCTGCACGTAAGCTTGGCATGAATGAATGCGTGGTTCGGCGCTGGAGGCGGCAGCGGGAAGAACTCAGTCGATGTAAAAAATAAAAAAAAAACGACACAAGCTTTCAGAGGAAATAAAAGCAGATGGCCGGAATTGGAAAACATTCTTGAAGACTGGGTGAACACACAAAGGGCAGACGGCCAGGGTGTTTCCACTGTGCAGATCATTAGTAACCAGGCGTGTTTTGTGTGCAGTTGTTATTTTCTAATCATCCAGGGCTTATTAATGCTGCGTCAGCGCTGTTCTTTTCTTCTAAACATGCAAATTACCGGTAATAACGTGTCAGTGCTGTTTTTATTTTATAACATCCAGAAATATGAATGCTATCAGCGCTGTTTTCTTTTCTAAACTTGCAGGCACGTTCACCCGTGGTTAAAATTCGTTTTGTTGAATTAAAACGACAACGAAAAACCTCCGTGCAGCGTCTTTCTGTCTAATTATCTTATGTTATGGCCGAACATGCGCTGTGCGCCGGAGACCTGCATGTGGCTGCTGCGCCGCGGCTTGTATTCGAGTGCGGCGTGTGTGTAGAAAACCTTTTTTTTTTATTGGTGCGGCTTATATTGAGGTGCGCTCTATAGTCCGGAAATTACGGTAATATTGGCGAGTTGCCAGTATATTTAATCAGATGCATACTTACTGAGTGGACAAAAGCCTTCAGCAGGTACTTGCAGAGCAGAGTTAGGGCCAGGGGCTTAGAAAACAGCTTCACATCAGGTGTTCCCTAAATATCAGGGGATTTATCCGTGACGCTGTGCTGCTGATCAGAGACGTCATGAGACATGCGGACACTTACCTCCATGAGGTAACAGTAGAGGAAGGGTCCCTGTGACAGGATGAGGTTGGTACAGATGCAGCTGGCCACGGTCTGCTGGATGGCAAGAAGCTTCCTCTTAGCATGATCGATGCCAACATGGAGACAATCCAGGTTGCCCCTACGGATAAGAACCAGATCAAGTAGGCCTCAACTTTTTCTAAATACTACCGAGACCATGAAGAATTTAGGATGTTGACAGTTTCTTCTTCGCACCTTGAAAGGGAATCAAGAGCTTTGATGAAGTTGTGGGCAATATCGCTCTCTTCTTTCTCCGTGCTCTCCAGCAAGGCAGCGGTTGCATGTACCATGTCGCTAGCCAGGAAACGGTTCTGAAAGCCAAAGTGAACGCCGAACGTCTGGATCCGAATTTCCTTCATTCTGATGAAAAAACAAACAAGACTCTGACTTGACATCTGATAATGAATCATTAAATACCTCATCTGTTAAACCGACCCTATAAGGGGTTTTCCATTACCAGAACTGCAGAGTAAATGCAACAAGGGGGAAATTGACTGGAAGACCCAAAGGCCCGGTGTTGGTACCAGATCGGCTCAGGGTCCTGCCTCTACAGTAGATGACTGGCTGAACGTAAGGCTTACGGAAGTTACGATACCACATTTGTAAAAGTTACGTTAGCACGTCAACAATGAGGACTTTGGTGTTGATTTGCTGTAGTCTTAGCGGCTGTAGTCTTAGCGGCTGTAGTCTTAGCGGTTGTAGTTGTTGTAGTCTTAGCGGTTGTAGTCGTTGTAGTCTTAGCGGTTGCAGTCTGAGCGGTTGCAGTCTTAGTGGTTGTAGTCTTAGCGGTTGTAGTCGTTGTAGTCTTAGCGATTGCAGTCTTAGCGGTTGTAGTCTTAGCGGTTGTAGTCGTTGTAGTCTTAGCGGTTGTAGTCATTGTAGTCTTAGGGATTGCAGTCTTAGCGGTTGTAGTCTTAGCGGTTGTAGTCTTAGCGGTTGTAGTCTTAGCGGTTGTAGTCTTAGCGGTTGCAGTCTTAGCGGTTGTAGTCTTAGCGGTTGCAGTCTTAGCGGTTGTAGTCTTAGCGGTTGTAGTCTTAGCGGTTGTAGTCGTTGTAGTCTTAGTGGTTGTAGTCTTAGCGGTTGTAGTCTTAGCGGTTGTAGTCTTAGCGGTTGTAGTCTTAGCGGTTGTAGTCTTAGCGGTTGCAGTCTTAGCGGTTGTAGTCTTAGCGGTTGTAGTCTTAGCGGTTGTAGTCTTAGCGGTTGTAGTCTTAGCGGTTGTAGTCGTTGTAGTCTTAGCGGTTGTAGTCTTAGAGGTTGTAGTCGTTGTAGTCTTAGTGGTTGTAGTCTTAGCGGTTGTAGTCTTAGCGGTTGTAGTCTTAGTGGTTGTAGTCTTAGCGGTTGTAGTCGTTGTAGTCTTAGCGATTGCAGTCTTAGCGGTTGTAGTCTTAGCGGTTGTAGTCGTTGTAGTCTTAGCGGTTGTAGTCATTGTAGTCTTAGCGATTGCAGTCTTAGCGGTTGTAGTCTTAGCGGTTGTAGTCTTAGCGGTTGTAGTCTTAGCGGTTGTAGTCTTAGCGGTTGCAGTCTTAGCGGTTGTAGTCTTAGCGGTTGTAGTCTTAGCGGTTGTAGTCTTAGCGGTTGTAGTCTTAGCGGTTGTAGTCGTTGTAGTCTTAGCGGTTGTAGTCTTAGCGGTTGTAGTCGTTGTAGTCTTAGCAGTTGTAGTCTTAGCGGTTTCAGTCTTAGCGGTTGCAGTCTTAGCGGTTGCAGTCTTAGCAGTTGTAGTCGTAGTAGTCTTAGCGGTTGCAGTCTTTGCGGTTGCAGTCTTAGCGCCTGCAGTCTTAGCGGCTATAGTCTTAGCGGTTGTAGTCCTGTGGTCCAAAAATTAACACTTTTCAGAGAAAATATGTTTGAATTTCCAGAGGAAATGTAAAATAAAAGCAAAGATATCAACTGATAAACGGCGACCCCCAAAAGCTCTCGATTTTGATGAAATGGGGCAAATAAAATATAAGAACTTTCTTGAAAAGACACCAAGTAACATTTTGAATGAATGAATGTGTTTACATAACAACGATGGAAATATACAGACGAATTCCACATTACCGTATTTTCCGGACTATAAGCCGCTACTTTTTTCCCACGCTTTGAACCGTGCGGCTTATAATGAGGTGCGGCTTTACTGAAGATTTTCCTTCACCTGCCACCAGGGGGCGCTTTAGCAGGAAGTGAAACAGGTGGAAGTCAAAAGTGGAAATCGAAGAAAGTGCTCATTTTAATTTAGCACATCCAAGCAGCCGGCATGACGAAGATTTTTTTTCAAATCCATACCCCCTCATCATGGTAACTACACATATGAGTTCATATGATGCCGCATTTAAGTTGAAGGCCATCGATCTGGCAGTAAAGGAGGGAAACAGTGCTGCCGCACGTAAGCTTGGCATGAATGAATCCATGGTTCGGCGCTGGAGATGGCAGCGGGAAGAACTCATTCAAGCCAGCTTCACCCGGGGATGATGACAGCAACACGGACAGCGACACTGACATCGCCACAGAAAAGGTATGTGACGAAGCTCTTCTGAGGCTGTTCAACTCCGACACTGAAGAAGAGGACTTGTTGGGAGGTTCCTGTAAATTTACCCTGAAGTTTCGGTAATGGAAACACACCTTATGTTATATTTGTTGGGGGTGTTAAACGTCAACTTCACAAGAGTCTATTAATTTAAAATAAACATTTATAAGAATTTTAACCATATCTTCATCTGCTGATTTTCTAAAAGACAAAATCCTGACTAAATTTTATGTGAACATGTTTTAAATATCTCTTCATGTACACATATGTATATTTAACTGGTGATTTACCAACAGTTCTTCCTTTTTCCACATCAAAAACTACCTCTATGCAATTATTTTTGTAAAGCGCCGTATGTGGCTCACCTGTTCCTGCTGCTAAAATTACTCATCATAGGGAAGGTGGCTTTATAAGAGCTTAGTCTTAACCGCTGCTGAATCACACCATGTCAGAGATAAAAAGCAAAGGAAGCGTTGAACAAGTCCACATCCATACCCAAATTTATTAGAGGACTCTTCAATGACGTCTCTTAGGTTCTCCTTTATCGACATGTCCATGGATGTATATTTTTGTTTCACTTGTTTCAGAGGTAACCTGTAAACAACAACACAAAAAGAAATGAAGCATCAGATGCTGCCGTCTCTCTACTGCTGACACACGAAGCACCGGTTTGAAAATGCGTACCCCATATCAGCCAAGAACTCTCGCAGTTTCTTCTGGCCGTTTAAAGTCCAAAGCTTAAAGCTACTGGAGGTGTAGCAAGAATTACAGATGCTCTCATACAGAGACCAGTGCTGGTAGAGGCTGAGACGCAGGCTGGATCACGGGGTTAAGAAAAACAGAACGGAAAAAACCCCAAAGATCTGTTAGAAGATAAAGAAAGGATACTCGTATTCAAAGGAGATCCTCATGCAGTCGATGGATAAAGAGTTCTCCTCGTCCTCATTTCGGTGGTTATGTCGGGAAACATGCCGCTGCATCGTTGCGACATCTGTTACGTATTTCATGCTGAAAAGGAAATAAAACTCTAACCACGAGCCATTTGTTGCAAACATTTACAGAAAACCTTTAGAAAGCGAATCCTCACTGTGTGATCTTGTCGTGAATCTGCTGGTCCGTCAGCCCGATGATGGCCCACCTGTAGACGCAAACACGGATTTTAACGGAACGGTGCCGCGTGCATTTCTGTGATCTGGAAGTCGTTTATAGAAATGTTTAATTTGAAAGCTCACCAGAGCATGTCCTTGGTGTCTTTCGTTAGAACCCAGGCGAGCTCGAAAAACATCATCGCAGCCTGAGAGTCAAAGGCAGATGATGGGTTTGTGTATAGTTTATATCAGCTGAAGCTCAGGATCTGAGTTGTGTACTCACAGAGGTCCCGTGGAACTCGAACTGTTCATAGTCGAACAAGATTTCCCTCCTGAGAAACTTCAAAAGGTTAGACACACATCACAGACATCTCACTGTTCAATAAAAACAGACAAAATCTCACCTCCGTGCCTCCCACTCCCTCCTCGCTCTCTGCCTTTCAATTCTCCTCTCAATCGCCCCCTGCCAAGACACAATCCCGACACAAGCATTAGGCCCTGTCCACACGTAGCCGGGGATCTGACCAGGCCCACCCATCCACTGATTGGCTGGGAGGGGCTTGGCCTAGAGTCGCTGCTCTTCTAGCCTAGAGAGGTGATGCAGGGTTTTCCCTGTTTATGATGTCACAAACGGGGACTTTTTGAAACTTCTTGCTTAAGGCAAATAATTCCTAAATCCAAATACTTACAGAAAAAAAAATGGACAGATGTTTTTTCACCTGTGGAGTGTTTTTAGAGGCAGTAGAGAGCCACAGGGCAGCACAAAGTGCTCCAAAAGGTGAATTCAGCACAATATGTCCTATGTCCACAAGCATTAGGTCCTGTCCACACGTAGCCGGGGATCTGCCAAAACGTAGATATTTTTCTACGTTTTGGCCTGTCATCCACACGAAAACGGAGTTTTTTCACACGAAAACGGATCTTTTTAAAAACTCCGGCCAAAGTGAAGATCTGCGTTTTCTCCGTTTTGGGTGTCTGCGTGTGGACGGACAAAACCGGAGTTTTAAGGTCCGCAACGTCACTTTCCGCGACAAAAAATGCTGACATCACGTGTGCGACCTGTGTTTACACTAGCCGACAGCATGGATGCCTTCAGAGCTGCGCTCGCTTTATCAATTGTCCAAGCGCTTTCTGCTTGTTTGTTTTTGCAAGCGGAATTACTGCTCCTTGCGGAAGACCGCAGACGAAGGACGAGGTTAAGAACGGGGGAAGTACTGCCGCCTACAGGTCTGGCATGTCCTTAACAACGTATTTATCCGGGTACGTGTGGACAGTTTTTTTTTTAAACGAGGTGGTGTGGATGCAAGTTTTTGGAGGGGCGGATATTCGTTTTTAAAAAAAAACCCGGCTACGTGTGGACTAGGCCTAAGTCAGCCTCGCTGTCTTCTTCTTCAATCAATTTCCCTCTGGGATTAATAAAGTATTTTTGAATTGAATTCTGGCATCCTTTCTGCAGCGTCTGCTAATGCTCCTCACTTCATCAAACCTCCTCCGCTTTCCGGACGGCTCTGAGCCTTCGTCGCTGTCGTTTCCAGAGCCGTCATCTTCCTCCTCGTCGTCTCGAAAGATGTCGTCGTACGACGGCACGCCCAGATCGTCGTCCTGTTTGATTAGCAGTTTAATCTGTGGAGGGGACGAATGACGGTTAAGTAGGGAGTAAGTTCAATATGAGGGGATTAAAGTTTGCGGTTAGTCCTCTAAAACCTGATTATCCTACATCACCTGAGTGTCGTTATAGACATTAACCACGTCCACGGGACGGTGAGTATCACAGATGAAGAAGATGGAGTCATCATCTGGCTGCAGCATCTCAAGGAGGTCAACATTCGCCCCGCAGTTGATGAGAACAAAGTATCGAAACTACAAAACAATCAAAACATTTATTTCACAGTTTTTGTCCTAATCAGCCTTCTGTTGTACATATCCACGAGTAGACTCAAGTGTGTTGTTATTGACCTGCTCTTTGTGTTCAAGGAAGGCGGTGGAGAGATCCTGCCAGCCGATCACCGGCACCAGGGTGTACTGAATGTGGTCGCAATGAAACAGCGCCTAATAAAAACACAAACATGAAAGCTTTGAAAATGTTCAAAGCGGAGTCGTGCAACTGGAAATTACGTCGATTAGTATTTAATTTGGTTTTAGTTGAACACAGAGAAACCAGGCCTGAGAGGGACAAGACTCACACCACCTGTTCCACCTCCTGCCCTCTGGCACACGCGACAGGTCCATTTGATCCAAGACAGACTTTATACATCACACAAGATGTATAAATAAAATCACCACCCTGAATCAACCCATGCACCAGTCGCTTTATACACAACAACATACGTAGTTATTTTATCGTGTCTTGTTTTGTGAATTTTACTTACCCCTACACTTTCCTCCTGTATTATTTCTATTTTTGTCTTCTTTTTTTCCCTTTAACTCATCATACGAGCTGTAAAGGTAGTTTAAGCAACTTTTTTGTTCAAGGTTTCACCACAAGGTGGCACTGTGACTTTGTGAATGACCTAGAAAGTTTATTTAACATGTTTATTTAAAGTATTATTTTTCTTGTTTTCAATACATTTTGTAGCATTTACAGGTGCACAGAAGTAATAATTGTTGATGTTTGAGTAATTTTGAATTGCTTTATTTGATAAGTTGTGTTTAAAGAGCAAGTCACCCCCTACCAGAGTCTAACTCCACTCCCGCTTCCTGTTTGAAAAATGCAACAAATGCTGTTGCCTGGCAGACTGAGAGGGCGGAGCCGCTAACAAATACACACACACACAGGCTCACGACAGCATTGTGACATCATAATGTACCAGTTTACATCATAGCCTACCTGTTAGCCAATAGCGGTGGCAGATTTAAATTCAAATATAGTGCAGAGTTTTTACCTGACGACGGCACAACACTGACAGTTTTAGAAGAAGAAGAAGAAAATATCATTTCTAAAGCGCCTCTCAAGATAAAAATCACGAGGCACTTCACAAAAACAAAAAATGTAAAAATATAAATAAGCATTTAGAAAATGTTTAAAAATATATTTTAAATGAGCAAAAATAGACAATTGTGATTAAAAATGTTAAGAAAGAGAGAGAGTGAACAGGAAAGAGGGAAATGAGTGGATCCTGAGGAAGGTGGAATAGGTGGGGAGAGCAGAATAAAGAGAGAGAGGTGAAGAAGGTCATACAAAAGCCAGCTTGAACAAGTGAGTCTTCAGCTGCTTTTTAAAGGAGACCACTGAGTCCACTGATCTCAGGCTCAGGGGGAGAGAGTTCCAGAGTCTGGGGGCCACAGCAGCAGACGATCTGTCACCTTTGACCTTTAGCCTGGTGCTGCACAACCAGTAGGCTTTGATCACTGGACCTCAGGGACCTGCTGGGGGTGTAGGGACTAAGAAGATCACCAATGTAAGATGGTGCTTGTCCATGTAAGGCCCTATAGACCAGAACAGGATCTTGAAATGAACCCTGAAGTTGACTGGCAGCCAGTGAAGCTGGAGGAGAAGCGGGGTGATGTGGGTGTGTTTGGAGGACTTGGTCAGAAGCCGAGCACAGGCATTCTGAACCACCTGTAGACGGTTCAGGGAGGTTCTGCTCAGACACGTGAAAAGAGAGTTACAGTAGTCTAAGCGTGAGGAGATGAAGGTGTGGAGAACTGTCTCAAGTTCAGAGCGGGACAGAATGGGACTCAGCTTAGCAACGTTCCTGAGATGGAAGAAGGAAGAGCCAACAAGAATTTGAGGCAGAATATTTAAATTTTAACTAAGATGCACTGAAGTGCCAAATGATTGACTACACGTGTCTGCAGCACGATTAGACACTCGTTTATTTAGTTTATCAGCAAAAAAAGTTTATGTGGGGGTGACTTGGTCTTTAAAGAGCACTGAGATGTCACTTCCTGTCTCTCGTAGCTTCAGAGATTTTATCGATGCGAACGGACAAATTTGTGCCAATTAAGAACATTTTAGAAGAAAGTTAAGTGTTTTCAAGTCTACCGGCTTGTCTACTAGCAGACCAAAGTGGTATGTTTATTATTCATATATAAACTCTATATGTTAGCAAACTTAAGGCAACTAACGTGTTAATTTGTACATGATTTATGCTTTTTCATTAGTTCTACGGTGTTCGTGTGGTGTAAAGTTAAAGAAGATGCAAGGCCGCATTAAACATCAGTAACAGGAACGCTCGTGTCTCTCGTGTTTGTGAACAAGCCGGCACACGAGTATTAGGAACAGCACCTTGATGGTTTTGTTGTGCCAAACGTTTGCCCTTTTGTACAATGACAATAAAGTTTTCCAATTCTTAAAAAAAATTACTTCTAAATATTCACACAAAGCAAATAAAAAATCATAATAATGTTACAAAAAAGTTGGACTAGTCATTATGAACGAGCATTTGGGTAGGAAAACATGTTCACATCCGTCCAGATGTTCACTTCTCATGCACTTTCAGGTAAAATGTTTCCATCACTGAGAAGAACTCATCAGACGCAATGTTAACGTAAATGAAGTAAGATTTTTAGGGGTCATCTTGGATCTCAAACTTAATTGGAAACCCCATATAAAATATATAAAACTGTGTAAAAGTATTGGACTTTTAAATAAAGTAAAAAGTATTTTGGAGTCATCAACACTTCATATATTATATTAGTCATTATTGTTCCATACTTGACTTACTGTATAGAGGTTTGGGGCAACACATATAAAACAAACACTAATCCTTTGTTTTTATTACAGAAGAAATCTATGAGAATTACACATAAAGTAGACGCTAGGGAACATACCAGTAGACTTTTTAATTGAATCAAAAATGATGAAATTCAGGGATTTGGTTCATTTGAAAACTTTACTAATTATGTTCAGGGCAAAAAAGAGGTTACTGCCAGGGAAGTTACAGAAGTTTTTTGTTTTGATTTCAAATGATGGAAAAAATAGAAAGAAGCCCGAGTTTAAAAGAGTTTTTGCACAAACATCATAAAAGCAAATGTGTATTTCAGTATATGGAGTAAAATTATGGAATAATCTGGATCATGACCTGAAAAAAGTTTAACTACCGATCAATTTAAGAGGCGATATAAAGAAAAAAATCATAGAATCCTATGATTGATAAGTAAATAATGATTAAGCATATTGATAAGTTTTATTGTGATTTTGTTTACAAAGATAAGGACTTGGTTTGTGTATAAGGTCATTCTGTAAATTATATTGTATTTAGTAGAAAGAGGTAGGTCATACAAGACTTCTTCTTCCTCCCCTTTTATTTCACTTAGGAGACTGTTGATGATCGTATTTTGCATGAATGATGTATGAAACTGCTGAGTGAGAAAATAAATTAACAATTAAACTACAAATAACACCAATATGATTTATTGTTATACTGAGATTCTGGGAAAGTGATCGTAAAGAAGCAAGAATGTGTATGAAATTATTATTATTATTATAATGTAAGGGAAAATAAAGTGAGATTATGATAAATAAATCTGGGTGTCCAAGAAACCAAAACTTACATTTGTAATTCTACAGTAAAAAAAAGGAACTAAGCTAAATGTCGTATTTTCAAGACGTTTCTATTTCTGTAAAAATAATAATTTGTTTGAAAAGTTAGCAAAGGAGCTAACGCTGTATGAAAACACGAGCTTACCTGTAGTATCTTACAGGCGCAGAGAGCATCGATGTCCGCTGCAACCAGGAGGGCGACTCTCTGAACACAAACATTCATCATGGAAAACTCAAAGGATCCTGGTTCACACAAGTCAGGTTAGCTAACAAAGTCCAAAACTGTACCTGGTTGGCCACAACTTCGTAAAAATCCTTTCTTATGTCCGTGACAAACATTTTCTCGAGCGGAATAAATACGTTAAAAGCACAGACGAGCCTGATAAAACTGTTTAAAAGCCCTTAAACTGGTTTTGTTATTGTTTCAGCTCTCTCCACCGCGGATGCGGACGCCGCGTTCTTGTTTGGCGCCAAATCCGTACGTCACTTTCCACCAATCAAGTAGCAGGAGCTGCTTCCTTCTTTTTCTTCTTCGTGGTGATTGTTGGAGGTTTGTCAAACAACAAATTGGCACATTACTGCCACTAACTGGTATGGCAGCGTGACCAAACTCGACCAAAGATCATTAAATATTTAAAAAAACAACATTTAACACTTATTTCTGTAATATTGCAAGTTACAAAAAAACTACGGAAACCTATTGATGTCACAGAGAAACTATATATTTTACTCAGTACGATAAGTTTTTCTTGTAGAAACTGAAAAGAGGTGGTGATTTTATTTTTGAAAAACCATTAAGTTTGCCAAAGTTAAACATTTTCAGGACGTTGATACCCCTACAGCAACAAGACACTTTAACATATTAAAATTGGGAAAATAAAGTGAACAAACACAGCAGATATTTGAAATTGGTTTGTGACGTTCTCTAAAAACTGTTAAAAATGAACATAACTAATCATCGACATTTAATGTTACTTTATTTTTAAAATTACAATATTTTAATTATTCTGCAGGTGCAGATGATATTGTCATTTGGGGATAAGTAGGTCGTCGTTGTCGTCGTCTTCCTCCGCTTATCCGGGTCCGGGTCGCGGGGGCAGCATCCCAACTAGGGAGCTCCAGACCGTCCTCTCCCCGGCCACCTCCACCAGCTCCTCCGGCAGGACCCCAAGGCGTTCCCGGACCAGATTGGAGATGTAACCTCTCCAACGTGTCCTGGGTCGACCCGGGGGCCTCCTGCCGGCAGGACATGCCCAAAACACCTCCCCAGGGAGGCGTCCAGGAGGCATCCTGACCAGATGCCCAAACCACCTCAACTGACTCCTTTCGATCCGGAGGAGCAGCGGTTCTACTCCGAGTCCCTCCCGAATGTCCGAGCTCCTCACCCTATCTCTAAGGCTGAGCCCGGCCACCCTACGGAGGAAACTCATTTTGGCCGCTTGTATCCGCGATCTCGTTCTTTCGGTCATTACCCAAAGCTCATGACCATAGGTGAGGATTGGGACGTAGATCGACCGGTAAATCGAGAGCCTGGCTTTTTGGCTCAGCTCCCTCTTCACCACGACAGATCGGCTCAGCGTCCGCATCACTGCAGACGCCGAACCAATCCGCCTGTCGATCTCCCGATCCCTCCTACCCTCACTCGTGAACAAGACCCCGAGATACTTAAACTCCTCCACTTGAGGTAGGACCTCTCCCCCGACCCGGAGTTGGCAAGCCACCCTTTTCCGGTCGAGAACCGTGGTCTCAGATTTGGAGGTGCTGATCCTCATCCCAACCGCAGGGATAAGTATGTATGGAAGCCTATTCCTGCCACTTTAATAACTACAAAGCAGATTGTTAAAGCGTCTTAATTATGACTTAAGGTGTTTGTTTTTCAACAAAGTGGTAGAAATGGAATTCCATTATAATGTAAGCGTTGAATGTCAGAGAATTGAGAAATTTTTGATTTAGTTAAAGGCCTTTAATTTTACTGCTCAAAATCTGAGAAAAAGTGGATGCTAAAATTTTATTAAAATGTTCCATTAAAATATTTTTTTATTTGAAAAAGTGATAAAAAATGGTTAAGCTATACCAAATCTGTACAAATATTTAAACAATAGTTGTTTCACTTAAGCTTTAAAAGCAGACGAATCTCCATTAAAACTACAAAATGATATAAATGTTTGAATTTGACAAAAGGATCAGTTTCATGATTCCAGATGTGAGAAAACTTCAAGTCCACATTTGCTTTAAATGCATTTCCAACTTTAATTTGTTCATCAAAAGGAAAAATGTAAACAGCGAGGATTTTTTTTCTCATTTCCAAAACATATCCGTCACAACGTTTCATAAACATCACAACATAGAAATCAGCACACCGAATCACCGTGAGCAGCTGGTCGCGGCACCCAACGAGTGTTAGAATAACGACGTCATCGACCTCAACCGGGATGCAGGAAAATCACAAAACGTTTAACGAATGGACGGAAGCAGCGAGTTCATAAAGAAACGTGCAGGTTTTATAAAACCACAGCGGTCTAATAAAGAAGACCTGAGTGATAATAAACACGGATTCCAATTTACCGATCATCGCACGTGACGGAAAAATAAAGATATAAATTCATGTAAACCCCAACATGCCTCCAAAATAAATAAACTTGTACATTATTTAAAAAATATTATGAGTGACCAAGAAAAAGTGTAGCCAGCACACATCGGTGGGCCCCATGTGGAACCTACATGGGCAAGCCGTATGGGTCCCACCGGGGTTTACCTACAAACGTTTTAAACCCTCTGAAAACCCACGTGGAGCCCTTTAAAATCGATGTGGGCAAAGATCTCTCTGAGCAAACCCTTGTGGGGCCACCATGGAAACTGCAGACAAACCAGGGAGGGACCCATACAGCTTGCCCATATAGGTCCCATGTGGGGCCCACATATGTGTGCTGGCTCCTCCTGGTGGCGTTTCCCAAAGAAACACCACCTCTGTCAAAAATCACATCTAGGATTTATCTGAGGTAAAGAAAGGCAGCATAAACCTGGGAATGAATCTAAATAAAAACCAGAAGAAGGTAAGAAAGACAGCCTGTGCAGTTTCTCCTTCATTATCCATCAGATTTTAATAAATGTGCTAAACAAAAAGGCGCAAATTAATCTTTCTTTCTGCCAAGTTTGGTGTGAAAACCTCTGTGATGCGGACGCTTTCAGCTCAGCTCACGGCAACAAGCAGAAACGCAAACACTACCCGGGGTCAACATGGGGGGAAAGGAGAGGAGTAACACGGATGTTGAATTAAACTGAATTAAATAAGACGACGCAGCAGCAGAGCTCACATTTCTTTTAAAGCTGATAAAATATCCAACTTTACTCGTCGGCCGAGCTCAGACATTCACAGCGTAGAAACCCCGACCAGCAGGAGAACGGCGAGGCTCAACCTCAGAAAGTTCTGGTTCTGTTGTCGCCTCTTTTCTCTACCTCCGCTGAACCGTCAGACTCTTAGATAAGCGAGCCGCGCGAGTCGGCCGCAGAGCTGGCGCGCAGCCTGGGAGCACGGGTGCAGGGAAATGTTTAGCGGGAAGTGCTGTCCAGCTGAAGCACAGATCAGATCTGGACTTAAAGGACGGCACAGATCTGGAGGTGATAAAAAAATAAACGTGACAAGTAACGTTCTAAATAAACCAGGAAGACGAAGATTTAAAGCCGTAAACAAGTCGTGCTAACAGCCTGGCTTTAAATAAAAGCGGAGCGCATGAATGAAACTCCTTTATGGTTGTTTTTAAGGATCTCATGATTAAAGAATCATATTTATCAATAATTTATCCACTATTAAAGCACTAACCGTGCTGTTTTCACTAGTTTGTAACTTCTGAGTCACAAATGTACAATCCTGGAAAATAACCTAGTTGTTTTTTTATCAAATACGTTCCTCTCGTGACACATCAGTGCCTTAATACGCTGCAACGTGTGCACAAGTTCATACCACCTACATTTATTTAGATAAAGCATCTCGTCTTGTTCACTTCCAACAAAACCAGCCTTCATCCGACGGATTAAACGTGAGAAATTTACAACATCTAAACGCAAAGGTTCCCTTATTTTGGACTCGTTTGATCAAATCCGAGCTTTCTACCGAGACGAGTGTGTGTGTAACGAGTGAACTTTGTCCTCATCTGCTTGTATTTTCTCAGAGTTTAGCCAAAGTAATAGTCGACGCCCGACAGGAGGTTTAATTCTGGTGCAGCTAACTCCAAACCAGAAGCATCTGCATCTTTAAGAAGTCATTAATTGAGCTTTGATTTTGCTCAAATGTAACAAAAGTCAAGAAAAAGCATTCATGCAAGTAAACTATAACCAGCACTCTGCGGCGTTTGCACTAAAGCATCAACCCTGCGTGTTTACAAAACAATCACAGAGTGGACTTGTGTAGCTAAAGCCTGAGAGGCGGCGGACGGTTCAGTACGGCGGCTGTGCAACAAACCCGCTCAGGTGTCGTCTAGAGGCACAGCGTGTGCAGAGCCGGGCGATGAAAACAAATAAGCAGAAGACCCCCCCCCCCCCAGCAGGTATAACCACAATCCTCACAAACAGAGGTGAAACCCAAATTTAGACAAATACCCCTGTACGAATGGCACCAATAAACCGGTGACAGCTGCCCTACAGCGGGAGGACGTAGGTGGAGTTGGCTAGTTTGCGCTCCTGTGCAGAAGGAACAGTCTCTCTGCTATGGAGGGGTCTGTGACAGTCCAGGTCCTGAAGTGGAGGGAAGTGCTGCCGGTAACAGAGCCACGCGAAGGTGAGACCCAGCAGAGACCCAACTAATACATCTACACGAAGGACAAACAGAAGAACACATGATGAAAAATCATCGTTTATTTTAAGCAATACGATTCTTCAGGGTATCGGCAGGTTTAAGGGAGCCAAATTTAAGACCTTTTTAAGACCTTTTTTAAGGCCAGTTTGACCAAATTTAAGCTACTTTTTAAAATTAAATTTAAACTATAATTTCCAGCTATTGCGAATGTGGGATTAGCCATCCAGTTTCCATAAAAGTTGCACGTCCCCATGGCGCAATCTCCCACTAGCTTAAAGAGCAAGTCACCCCCAAATAAACTTTTTTTTGCTGATAAACTAAATAAACGAGTGTCTAATCGTGCTGCAGACACGTGTCGTCAATAATTTGGCACTTCAGTGCATCTTAGTTAAAATTTAAATATTCTGCCTAAAACTGGCAGTGTTGTGCCGTCGTCAGGTAAAAACTCTGCACTGTATTTTAATTTAAATCTGCCACCGCTATTGGCTAAGAAGTATGCTATGATGTAAACTGGTACATTATGATGTCACAATGCTGTCGTGAGCCTGAGTGTGTACTTGTTAGCGGCTCCGCCCTCTCGGTCTGCCAGGCAACAGCATGTGTTGCATTTTTCAAACAGGAAGTGGGAGTGGAGTTAGACTCTGGTAGGGGGTGACTTGCTCTTTAACCAGCTAATGTGCTCATCTAAAAAACGCCCCCTTTCACAACCAACTGAATGAGTATGGTTCCGCTTATGCCAATATCATACACAAAAAATGCTGAACACTAACTAGAAATTCATGAAAATTGAAATAAAATAATCTTGTTTATTGGGTCTTTGGTAATTTAAGACCTTTGGAAGCTGTATTTAAGGATTATTTGTCATTTTTAAGGATTTTTAAGGCCTTAAATTTGGAAAAGCAAATTTAAGACTTTAAGACTTTTTAAGGACCCGCGGATACCCTGTTCTTGGATATGGAAGGATGTGTATGTGGCGCTTATTAAATTCCATAGGTCATCTACCCAACTTCATTAAAGAGGACATATTGTGCTAAATTCACCTTTTGGAGCACTTTGTGCTGCCCTGTGGCTCTCTACCGCCTCTAAAATCACTCCACATGTGAAAAAACATCTGTCCATTTGTTTTCTGTAAGTATTTGGATTTAGGAATTATTTGCATTAAGCAAGAAGTTTCAAAAAGTCCCCGTTTGTGACATCATAAACAGGGAAAACCCTGCATCACCTCTCTAGGCTAGAAGAGCGGCGACTCTAGGCCAAGCCCCTCCCAGCCAATTAGTGGATGGGTGGGCGTGGTCAGCTCCAGCTTGTTTTCTTAAAGTGCAAGTCACCCCCTACAAGAAACTTTCTCCACTCCTACTTCATATTTGAAAGATGCAACAAATGCTGTTGCCTGGCAGACTGAGAGGGTGGAACCACACACACACACACACACACACACACACACACACACACACACACACACACACACACACACACACACAACAGCATTGTGACATCATAATGTACCAGCTAATGTCATTGTGTACCTCTTAGCCAATAGTGATGGCAGATTTAAATTCAAAAGCAGTGCTGAGTTTTTACCTGACGACACTGATAGTTTTAGGCAGAATATTAAATTTTAACTAAGATGCACTGTAGTGCCAAATTATTGACTGCTTGTGTCTGCAGCACTTTTAGATACTCATTTATATACAGGTGCTGGCCAGTAAATTAGAATATCATCAAAAGGTTGAAAATATTTCAGTAATTCCATTCAAAACGTGAAACTTGTACATTATATTCATGCAATGCACACAGACCAATGTATTTCCAATGTTCATTACATTTAAATTTGATATTCATAAGTGACAACTAATGAAAACTCCAAATTTGGTATCTCAAAAAATTAGAATATTCTGAAAAGGCTGAATATAGAAGACACCTGCTGCCACTCTAATCAGCTGATTTACTCAAAACACCTGCAAAGGCCTTTAAAAGGTCCCTCAGTCTTGTTTTGAAGGCACCACAATCATGGGGAAGACTTCTGACTTAACAGCTGTCCAAAAGACAATCATTGATACCTTGCACAAGGAGGGCAAGACACAAAAGGTGATTGCTAAAGAAGCTGGCTGTTCGCAGAGCTCTGTGTCCAAGCACATTAACAGACAGGCGAAGGGAGGGAAAAAATGTGGTAGAAAAAAGTGTACAAGCTCTAGGGATAACCGCACCCTGCAGAGAATTGTGACGACAAACCCATTCAAAAATGTGGGGGAGATCCACAAAGAGTGGACTGCAGCTGGAGTCAGCGCTTCAAGAACCACCACGAGGAGACTCATGAAAGACATGGGATTCAGGTGTCGCATTCCGTGTGTCAAGCCACTCTTGAACATGAAACAGCGCAAGAAGCGTCTCGCCTGGGCCAAGGACAAAAAGGACTGGACTGATGCTGAGTGGTCCAAAGTTATGTTTTCTGATGAAAGCAAGTTTTGCATTTCCTTTGGAAATCAAGGACCCAGAGTCTGGAGGAAGAGCGGAGAAGCACAGAATCCACGTTGCATGAGGTCCAGTGTAAAGTTTCCACCGTCAGTGATGGTGTGGGGTGCCATGTCATCTGCCGGTGTTGGCCCACTCTGTTTCCTGAGGTCCAGGGTCAATGCAGCCGTCTACCAGGAAGTTTTAGAGCACTTCATGCTTCCTGCTGCTGACCAACTTTATGGGGATGCAGACTTCACCTTTCAACAGGACTTGGCACCTGCACACAGTGCCAAAACCACCAGCACCTGGTTCAAGGACCATGGTATCCCTGTCCTTGATTGGCCAGCAAACTCGCCTGACCTTAACCCCATAGAAAATCTATGGGGTATTGTGAAGCGGAGGATGCAATACGCTAGACCCAACAATGCAGAGGAGCTGAAGACGACTATCAGAGCAACCTGGGCTCTCATAACACCTGAGCAGTGCCACAGACTGATCGAGTCCATGCCACGCCGCATTACTGCAGTTATTGAGGCAAAAGGAGCCCCGACTAAGTATTGAGTGCTATACATGCACATTCTTTTCATGTTCATTCTTTTCAGTTGGCCAACATTAGAGAAACAAACATTTTTTCATTGGCCTTTAGAATATTCTAATTTTCTGAGATACCAGATTTGATGTTTTCATTGGTTGTCACCTATAAATATCAAAATTAAACGTAATAAACATCGGAAATACATTGGTCTGTGTGCATTGCATGAATATAATGTACAAGTTTCACGTTTTGAATGGAATTACTGAAATATTTTCAACCTTTTGATGATATTCTAATTTACTGGCCAGCACCTGTAGTTTATCAGAAAAAAATTTGTTGATTTGGGGTTGACTTGCTCTTTAAAGAGCAAGTCAACCCTTACAAGAAGCGTACTTCATTCCCACTTCCTGTTTGAAAAATGCAACAAATGCTGTTGCCTAGCAGACCGAGAGGGTGGAGCCACTAACAAATACACACACTCACGACATTGTGACATCATAATGTACCAGTTTACATCATAGTATACCTCTTAGCCAATAGCGGTGGCAGATTTAAATTCAAATGCAGTGAAGAGTTTTTACCTGACAATGGCACAACACTGCCAGTTTTAGGCAAAAAATTTAATTTTTAACTAAAATGCACTAAAGTGTAAAACTATTGACTACACGTGTCTGCAGCACGATTAGACACGCATTTATATAGTTTATCAGAAAAAAATAGTTGATTTGGGGGTGACTTGCTCTTTAAAGTGACAGAACCCTGAAACGGCTCATTCTGGAAGGTACTGAAACTAAAAAATAAAACAGCTAGAATTGCTTTGTGTAAGAGGGATTTAGTGTAAAAAAGAACTTCATGAAAATGTTTAGGATCCACCACAGAACTAATATAACTTCAGTAAAATGTCATAATATGTCCCCTTTATATATATCTGTTTGTGTGTCTTGTGTTTGTATTATGACTTCAGGGCTGAGAGGTGATTTAAACTCTGACCTTGCCAGTGGTGTTTGTAGTCGCAGGTTCTGGAGAGGGCGATCGCAGCTGCGATGAGTAACGGGGTGAGGAAAGCACACAGCCGCCATGCTCTGCCTTGGCCTGCTGCACTGAAGCATCGCAGCTTTCCTGCGACGTACAGCGCCGTGAAACCCAAACCTGCAAAGGCGACTGAGAGAAAACAGAGAAATACAAACACAGGAGGAGTCAGGAAAACTAAGAACAGCACAGAAGAGGCAGCAATGTTCTATTCACGTAGGACTACGAGCCTGAAGGTAAAAACACACTCTACTTGATATCCAAGCTCAACCATAATGGCCTCTTACAGGAAGAGTGTCCACTTGGAAAGCTCTTTCTTCCCTCCATGACCGCATCTGGGTCACCGCTGCAGCGCAGCTCCAAGTTCATCTGACCGTCAGGGAAACAGCGATAGAAGAAGTCGGGTCTCGGCCTGGAGGAGGACACATTTGGGCTTTCACACACTTTCACACAAGCTGAAATTGTTTGATAGTCCCCGTTTTACCTGCCAACAACAAGTTTGATGACGTTGGTGAACACTCCATTGAGCACCAGAGTCAGACTCACAGCTGGATGACGAGAGGAAACACGCCAGTTATTCAAAACAAGAGCCGATGTGCGTTTTTAGAATAAAGTCTGCAGCTGTGGGGGTTTCTTTTCTCACCCAGAGAGGCTTCTTTCAGATCTCCATCTGACTTGATCAGGGTGTTGAAAATCAAGATTACGATCAGGGGAGTGAAAACAGCCACACTCTGACGAGAGGGAAACAAACCTTTCAGAATAAAACACTGCAGATGTGACCAAAAGGCCCCATCTAACCCGACTTACAAACATGAGAGAGGTGGGAACGTGGTCGGCCTCCACGTGGTGGAATTTATACAACCACATCTCCTCTGCCTGGATCTCGCGGTAAAAAGGAGGAAGCTGCTCTGTAACACTGAGAGAAGGACAAACTGCTACTCAGCAAACGGCACCAAAAGGCGCCAACAGGTACGTTTGAAAAGGAGAAGGAAGCTCACAGGAATACAAACAACAGAACGAGTCGGACGGAAATCTCCGACAGGAATCCACGCAGCAGCCTCCTCTTCATTTTGTTTGTTGGAACGGTCTTCAGTCAACAGCAAACATAGTTCCTCTGTCGGCTTTTAACTGAACTGTAAACAGGAATGTGAGTTTGGGTTTTAATTCAAGCTTGGTTAAAAGAGAGATATTTACACCTTTGGGATAATAATAATAATAATAATAAGAAGAAGAAGAAGTAACGAAGCGACTGCTGCCTTGAGCCGACTCATTCAAGTTTGACTCCTACAGAAAGCCTTGGTAGCATCAGATCAGACATTAAAGCTGGACCAATGGGACTACACCTATTAAATCAGAAATTGATGAGTATCAGCCTCTAATATACTTTTGATTTTGTAAAATATTAAACAAAATTGTTATTTTCCACCAATGCAACACCTTTCTGGCACATGGAGGTTCATTTATGACACATCAGCCTGGATTTTGACCACCCTATACTACTGAGACTACACTTGCTTTAGAAGGACAGAGATGAAGTCACTGGAAACACAAGCAAAATAAAAACCAGATTAATTCTTTCTAAACTAAAGTGACAGCCCACCTCTGTTAAAACACACGTTTCAGATATTTCCTCTTGATTATAGTTTTATTCTTGCACGATACTTCGATCTTTATAAAGTAACGTCTGAAAATGCAGACAAGCATGTTAATAATTTCTCATTAGATCTGAATATGATCTTCAATACAAAATAACCACAATTTCAGATCAAAATCAAGTACAAAAATAAGATAATTTTCTTTTTTCTTTTTATTCTTTTTGCTCACTTTGCTCAGAGATAAATAGAAAATATATTTATGTTATAAGCTGAACGTCCCAGACATTTATTATGTGTACATTTCTGATAAAACATGTTTGTTATTATTCTGGGTAGTCCCATTTCTCTGTCTAAACCTGGTTTAAAGGCCAATTCTGAATCTCTGCCCCCCACTTCCAGGTGAGACACATACTTTGCACAATCTGAATTTGTTATTATACATATAGACAAATAAACCAAGCCAGCTTAAATACACAGTGAAGAACCCAACACACAGCAGAAGACCAAATACGGACTGAAAGTAAATACATCTGTAGGAAGCTAAGCTAGCAGGTAACATCTGTCAAACAAGACATCTGGCTCATTTCCGCGTTGTCAGTCAAGATAATTCCAACAAATCTAGATTACTAACCTCAAACGGGCCGGATTTTACCTCTTCATCCCAGGATTTACATGTCCCAATAACAAGAAACAAGACTCGACATCTTATTCCTCTGCCGACAGAGAAAGTCTCGTATTTTAGAGAAACAGATGCCAGGGAGGCGGAGAGCTGCGCGTGAAGCAAATGGTGGAAACATTCTTATCCGGTTAAGGTTTTCAAAATAAAGGCATCAACATTTCTTGCCAACATTGGCGTCTGAATCGGTCTGAATAGTATGTTGCTCTCATCGCTTCGCTGTTTGAGAATTAGTTTTTAAATGAAATACATTAAATCTAAAAAATACAGCTACAATTAGCTTTATATGGATATTTAAAAACTGTTCTATTTCTGAAGTTCCACAAACCGGAAATACTTCAATTGCAGATTTATTTTTCTTGTGGCGAAGATGCAACAAGCCACGTCACGCCGTTAGATGCCACCTGGTGGACAAGAGAGGAATTTTAAAATGTTTTGCTTTACATTGAAAGCCATACTATGGATCTTCTTCATATTTTTAAACCGTTTTCTTGAGCAAGTGTGTGCTAAAATGACGCTTTACATGATTAATGAAATGTTACTCAGACCCCCACCGCCCTTTTTGGCCAGAATACTGCATTTGTGCAGGTCCGTCTGTTGGAGCTGAGCTGGCGCTGCAGTCTGCTTCCAGCATGTTTCCTGCAGTGTTTTATTAACACAGCTGATTATTTGAATTTAGTAATGAATCACTCCCGTAGAAAGTAATGAAGGCTGGGGAAACATTTCAGCAGTAAGATAAAGATGTTAAAAAAAAATGAACGCACATCAAGTGCACTAGGGGGCGTTAAAGCATGCAAAACAGCCAAGTGTGCCTTTAAAATGTTTTTCCTCATTTTACATATTTAGATATTCTTACTTGCTGACAGGAATTAATCAAATGTTCATGATTATTAATAACATTAAATGTCACTTGGTCTTGTTGAGTTGGTGCAGCTCAATGCGGAATTACCGAAGCTAGAATCGAGACAAAAAGATCCGTAACACTGTAGATTTGAGGTTTGTACCTGTAGAATGAAATGTGTGTATTGAGAGTTTTGATTTCAAACATGTACATTGATTTTTTTTTTTTTTGGAAGTCTGCTAGGTAAAAACCTAAAGTTTCATGTGTCTGAATGAATGTTTGATGTTACAAACTGAGTTGTAAATGTACAAAAATAAAAGTTTGATTTTACAAAATAAAAAATACATGTACAAAATGAAAAATTCCTGTTACAAAACAAGAAATACAAGTACAAATTGAGAATTACAAGTTAGAAAACTAAAGTTTCAAGTTACGAATCCAAAGTTACATGTCATGAAACTTGTACCAAGTTACAAAACTTGGTACAAATTACATTGAATATTGTCCCAACCCTAGTTCCATTTATAATGGTCATTATTACATATGCTGCTTCCCACATTGAAACAACTTATTTCATTCATTAATTTAGGAAAAATAAACACTGTATATGAAATCTGGTTAAGACTAAACTCGTGATTTGATTTTAACTAGGGCTAGGACTTGATTAAAAAATTTAATCTAATTAATTAGAAGCTTTGTAATTGATTAATCTAAATTAATCGCATTTTAATCGTTCAGGAAAATGTGCTCTCAAAGCAAAACTTTTAATTAAAATTATGAGACAGAGAATCAAACATTAGACATGGTTATTACTGTAAACTAAAACTTTTAATAAAAAAAATGCTATTCGGTCTACGAGGCAATCGTGCAATGACATAGGTTCCGCCTTGCTCGAAATGCAAGCTGCGATTAAATGCATTAATTTTTTTAACGCATCATTATTTTCTAATTAATTAATCATAATTAACAGGTTAAAAGTCCCGGCCCTAGTTTTAACACAACACAGATAATACAAAATATAGCTAATAAGGTAGAAATAACTTTGTGCTGCCGCCTGGTGGTCATTCTGGTACATGACAGCTTCCTACATTACAGCAGGGGTGACTTTAACGGAGATAATAAATAAAAAACTGAATACTGGAAGTATTAAAAAATCCTAATGTGATTTGACATTACAACAACATGAATGAAGGGGTAAATAAACCATTTAAATAGGTTTGTTGATCGGTCGTCTTGTTCAGTAAACACACAGTGAGAGTTTCACTGAGACAGAGTACAGCTTTATTAAAGTCAAACTTCAAGCATATCTGAACTCCTCAAACTGAACTTTAGAATGAAAAAGGACACAATCAATATTCTCAAATAAAAAGACAAGTCATGTACAAAAACGTTTCGTCTCAACAGTCACACACATTTAGAAGCAGAAATTTACAGGCAAAAAGAGGACGCCACAGTAACATGAGTCTATGCAAATTCAATGCAAAGTATTTACAAGTTCCTCAACAGTATGTCGTATGTCGTAACACAGGTTGAACAGTAATTAACATGGCAATGTGTGCTCATCCACATTTTTATTGAAGCAACACCAAGAGATAGATATGACCCCAGTTAGTTACTGTAAGCAAGTTTTCTACAAGTAAAAAGAGATGAAGAGTGCTTATTTATGCAGGTGAATTTATTCCTTTATTCCAACACTATTTGACAGCATGTCTGGTAAGACCTTAAGGACGAGTCGGCAACATTGCACAAAAACAAAAGACGTCACAGTGAACTGAAACATGCCCTCTGACAAGCAAGGGTGGTCCATCCTAAAATTAAGTGAAAAAAGAAAATCCTCCTCAGGCATATTTACGGGTCACTTATTATAAAAGTAAAAAATAAAAAAGACATGCTGTCTTTAAAAAAAATGTGGGTAACAGTAAAGAAAACATTCACTATCACATCAGTCTGGTGAACACAAGGACAACAAAGTAGTAATACTGCTGCTGTAACAGCTCAGCAGGGCAGAAGACAAACTGGCACAAAGAAAGGAACATGATCATGCAATCTGCAGGTGCAAAGAAAAATAAAGGCTGCTCGGCTTTACAAAAATTCTGTGCAATGTGGTGATAAAAATGAGAGAAAACATTGGCACTGATTCATCAACGGACATTGGAAGCATGCAGTTCTGCTAAACTTTTACCGTAAAATAAAAAAACAAGGGCTTCAACTGTTTCAGAAGACATTTCCTTAATTAACTCGATGCATTAACAACATGCAATTAAGGCCCGTTATAAAAAACAAAAACAAAGAGCAAGGTTTAAACAACAGTTTTGAGAAAGTGCCTTGATGCACTAAATAAAAAACAAAAAACAGGACGCAGTGCAGAAAAATGCCTCAAATTAAAACAATGCAGATTAAATCTGAGCATTTATTCATTTGAATTAACTCTTTAATTTTGAAATTGTCATGAAAATCTTGAATCTTTCCAAAATGTCACTTTTTTCAGTCAGACACTAAAAGACTCATTTTAAATTTGCTCAAATTCGACCAAAGTTTAAGATCAAGTACTTGTTTGCACTTTTAAATCCAACTTTATGTTTAGTCCGCTACTTCCCTTGTTTTACACTCGGTTAACCAGATTAAGCATCTTAAACTACTGGAGCTGAGCAGCAATCCTGCACTCAATCTTTATGAATAATCCCTATTTTCAGTTTATTTTTCTAAAGAGGTGTTAAATTCAGCTTAATAATCATTTCAAGATTGTATGATGTTTTTTCTTTTTGCTTTGTTCATGTAAATCAGGTCAAAAATAAGTAAAAAATAACATAAAAATTGAATGAGCTAATTATGAGACACGATTGGCAACAAAAATGGAAGCTTATAACTTATATTTTACCATTTAAATCCTCAAAATCTTTAAGAAAAACAAAAACAACAACTCAGAAGTCAAATTTTCCTCCGTCATGGTCATCGAACCAGAGATGAGTCAAACGCAGACCGGTGAGAGAACAAATCCGCACCGAACAAAAACGTAACATCCCGTTACCGAACTGCTTCCCACTGCTTTCAACGCCGATCAGCGGGTCACGATACGGGCCGACGAGCAGCTGCTGTTACCAAATGTGGAATCATTACACCAAATGCAAGAAAATGACTAGCTACAAGCATGATGCGTAAAACTCCCCGTGTCGTCTTCGTTCGGATTATTATTTTCACTTACAGCTTGGTGACAAGGGGAGACGAATTACTGCAACGGTGTCCGAAGTAACGAAACTGGTATAAAATGTGGTGCAATAAATACAAAAAGTTTTGATTTGACAGATGAGCGATTAAAAACACTGTACAGGAGTTTCTGTTTGTACACGATACCGGACCGGACGTTGGTACATCGTTTATTCTTTATATAAAGGCCCGGAAACAAAAGAAGTGCCACCATCTGACACACACTTCCATCTTTTTGTAAGAAGCCGGGGTGGCAGTTTGTTTTTTCTACTTGTGAAAAAAATACAAATAAAATAAAAATCAAGCAATTAGGCCACATTTCTACAAAGACCCAGCATTCACGTTTCCGACTAGGAGGCAAAAAAAAAAAAAGAAGTTACAGCACATTTTGAATTCAAACGAGAAGAGGTATCCATTTTTGAAACACTTTCTGTGTTTTTGCGTACGTCTGCCCAAGCGAAACGGTGCCGCAACGAGCCGTGTGAAAGTGCTTTTCGTAGAAGTTTGGCAAACAAAAAGAACAAAAACCCAACTCCTCGGCGTCAGAGCCGTCACAGTACACGTGTGAAATGAAATGACCGGGTTGCACCGCGTCTGGGGCGGCGCGTCCTGCGGCCGAAAACAACTCAAACTTAAGGCTTGTTAACAAAAACACAGCACCGGTGATCACAAGCTGGGCCTTCAGTCTACAACTACTCAGAGGACAAAGTAAGAGAAAAGGAAAAAAAAAACTACAAAAAAAAGTCAAGGATCGGTCTTAAAGAAAAACGTTTTAGAAAAAAAAAAACATCCCAAAAACGAGCGCAGAGACGAGGCTCCGCCCCTCCTGATTTTTCAGTATTTTACAAGAGCCGGGTTATGTACACGATGGCGAGTGAGACTGGCAATATGAAATCACAAGTACTTCTGTAATGTCATACCATTACACTAGATACCATTATATTTCACCTTAGTAGGACTATTTTCACAAGGTCGTCTGCGTAATGTTCAACACCTAAACGAACAAACGTAATACACCACTCACCGGGATGAAGTGAGAGAATCTGTCTGTAAACATTAACAAACGTAGATACCGTATATAATTATATTCATCTATACCCATAAGTATATTAAAAACCATGTTTGAGGAAGGTTGGAATGTAGCGTGATCCTGGAAAACAAAAGGAAAATTGCACTAAACATCGTTTTCTCGGTTCTTTTTTCTAGAAAAAGAGGAACAGATGCGAAGATGTGAAGAAGCCGAGAAGCAAAGCTGGAGTGAGACGCCGGCCGCGGCCTTCAGCAGGTAAACGGAGAGGGAGGAGGACAGAGGCCTCCTCGCCTCGCCTCACCGACTGAGATCCTCTAAGTGCTGAAACCGACGACATGACGACGCTCGTGAAATCCACAGCTCTGAAAACAGAGACAACAAATAAAAATGAACTGAGTGAGGCGGCATGTTGGGCCTTGTCATGGGCGAGCTGCTGAGAGTGAAAGAAGTGGACTTTTTATGGCAAGAGGAGAGAAAACAGCGCACAGTTAAGCCTGGTCGGTCCTCCAGTTGCTCTGCTCTCGCCGCTAACAGCATCGAGGTGTTCATCAGTTGGTTCTGAATATTGGCCGTCGCACGGGTTAAAAAAAAAAAAAGTCCAAAAAACACTGAATCCCCTTCTGAAGTGCACCGCTGCAGCCGTGAGAGCACTTCACCAGGAATGAGGTATTGTAGGAGTTGCGGCTTCAGTCTTTGGTCATCTGTCCCGCCTCTGGCTCCGGTTTGACCCCGACAGAGCTCAGAGAGTAGCGGCGCGGCTGTGCCGAGCTGGAGCCGAGCGGACTGAGCGGGTTGTGGCTCGAGCAGCAGGGGCGGTCGCCCAGAGAGGAGGCGGTGAGCGCCCCCATCTCGTGGTCCTGGCAGAACGAACGGGGGCAGAAGTCACAGAGCGAAGAAGCCGGGGCGCCGCATATGCTGCAGTCGTGCCACGGGCATTCCCAGCGTCCTGCAGACAGGAACGGAGGTCAAAGGGTCACACGTCGACTCCCAAACAACACAAACACATATTTGTGGTAAACACAGCTTCAACAACAAACCAACTACAGCACACCTGATGAATCCAACTGGACTCAACCAGCAGCTGTAAGGTCTACTTGCCACATCAGCAGAGGTTAAATCGGTCAGATTACAGCAGAGCTGCACCAAATACAAAAAAGTTGCGCTGCGGTTTTTTTCTAACCCAGCGATATTGTTTGCTTTACTAAAAAACAAAGGATTTTTCACGAGATGACCGTCATTTAAGTGAAGCTGCACAACTGCCATCTGGCTGACAAATAACCCGTTACCAGGATGTAACCAGATGCACAAGCGTTGTGTAACATCCGCAAACCGTAGCAGAAAGCAATTAGCTGCCATCGCGGCGGAGGAGCGTGCTGCCATCGGCCGCCAAGCGGCGCGCTTCAGAAGTGCGGTGCCGTGTCGCTCCAGTAAATTTACACTTGGAGTCTATATTTTTCCTAACCGCACTTCTAGAAGACATCAAGCTCTGGCCAGACAGGAAGTCAAAAAGGAAAGCAGTGTAAAATATTTATCAAATTTCAAAATAAAAGTTGCGTGCAGATTACCAGTTGCTTTACTTGTAAAACATTATGTCACCAACTGTGACACGTCCGTAGCTGGGGTAAACAAAACACAACATAAATCACAGACCTCTTTGGAAAGAGGCAGCTTTCTTTCTCGTTTGTTATTGTGTGAATCAGAGAAATCACTTGTGATTAGGGTCGTCACGGTGTGCAAATGTAACCTCACAGTTATTGTGATCAAAATTATCACGGTTTTCGGTATTAACGCGGTATTTTTTTTAAACGTGTTACATTTTCAGACAACTACATAAACCCTGTATATCAGGAAAGTATTGTCCTCAGTTTGTGTCTAAATTTAGCCTAAAATGTGTTTGTATTTATGTTGTTTATTTGTTTACATTATTCCCCTTTAGTCTTTAAAATACCAATATTTGCCCATAACTTCTTATTTTTGTTTGTTTGATGTCATCATTTTAAAAATATTAGATCAGATGATACTCAGTACTCAAGTAGCCTTCTACTCAGATACTTTTTTACCCTTACTTGAGTAATAAACCCTATATCAGGAAAATATTGTCCTCGGTTTGTGTCCTTCCAGTGAGCTTTGCAGATGTGGGAAAATGTCATCAGGCAGTAATCGTTGTTAAATTCATAATTATTCTCGGAGAGAGACCAACTCTTATCTGCCGCTGGGAGCCCCGTAATGCATAGCGTCATTTCAACATGGCGGTGTCCGCGACACGGTTTATATGCAGGTAGCGGCGCTGCGGCTGCTTTATATAGCGACTCGTTGCATTCTCCCTCAACCCAAATCCTCGGATCACGCATTTTAGCTAAAACGCTAACGTTAGCTTGCCTTGCGTTGACTGTAGAGTTGTGGGTGATGGTCACGCAGATGTGTCATGAGATTTGAAGCGTTGCTGCCTTTCACAGACACTTTTTCTGCACGTGCTGCAAACAGGATAGCCGTCTTCTATCAGCTGTCCCTCGGCATTCTTCAGATATCCAAAAGATGCCCGTACTTCCCACTTTGTCTTCTTTGAGGGATAAGAAATGTCCTGAGCGCTGCCGTCTCCTCCTTTGGCCATTATTTCAGCTTTAGCTTCAAGAAAGTTTTGGTTGTAAACAACAAAGTGCGCATGTGCCGCCGGCAACTTCAGCAGATGATACGGTGGCTGGTAAGGGTCACCGCGCCTACACCGCAGCCACGGTAATCCACCGAGATAATATAGTTAAAAAAAAAAACAAGACGGTTATTATTATTGTCAACTTTTTTACCGGGGTTTACCGCTACACCGGTTACCGTGACAATCCTACTTGTGATCTTGTAATCCTCCAAATGTGTGACCTTGCAGGACCAGCAGGGTGCAACACATCCTCTGCCGTTTCGCATCCCGGTAGGAACGGACTGATCTCGTGGGTAAAACACGCCTAACAGCTTATGCAGCACTTAGGCGTCTGGTTAGCGCTTCATGTACCGCGGGTGGTAAATCAAACTCTTCCTGGTCTAATCAGTATTTTTTTATTTTTTTTAAAAAGCATCTATGAAGCTCAAAATCTTATTTTGTTTCAAGTTTAGGCTAATAACTCATACAACTTCTTTTTCTGCTTACCGTACGGAGGCTTGGTGAGGTTGAGACACAGCAGGTGATACGCTTTTGGACACTCCTTCCTGTCACACATCACCAGCTCTCCTCCTCCTCCGCAGCAAAAACAGAAGTACTCGTGCGTGTGTTTGCTCTCCGGTCGCAGCTTCCGCTTCTTAGGCTTCAGCTTGGCGTTCTTGGCCTTCTCCTCCTTCTCTGTCACCACAGCCGTCTGAAAGAAACATTTAAAAAACAACGGCGTCAATCAAAGCCTCCATAACTAGAACACGCTGGAGCCGAGATGTCCTCACCGTCGGCTGCACTCCAAGGAATCCGGAGCAGTTGTCAGATCCACAATGACAGGACATTCTCCTGTTTCCCACACAGTGGAGGTTGTAGTTGAACGTCAGCTCAGCGCCTGCAGGAACACCGAGAACCAGACCCACATTTATGGAAGGGAATGCTATTAAAGCAGGTCAAACGGCGTGCTCCGATCGGAACCCACCAGCCTCGATATCACAGAGGGCAAAGAGTCCGATGCGAACGTCCCCGTTCACCGTCCACTTCTGGGTTTCGCAGTTTGGGCTGCAGCTGTGGTTCATGAAACGAGCCGAGTTTCCTTTTGGGCCAGCATCTATCACCCGATCCTGTCAGGGAACATTAGGACTCTAAAGTTACAGGAGCTCTCCTCGCTTCGGCCTTCATTACCAAAGACGAGAAACTCTGTCTAAGCTAACAAACGCCAGCCCAGATCGCCAACGTGAGCATCAGCCGCTACCTTGGTGAGCGTGAGCATGTAGAAGTTGGTGACGTGCTTTTCGTGGGCGTGTTTGATGCGCTGCTGACACTCCTCTGCGTCGATCACCTCTCCCACATACTCCGTCACAAAGTCGCCCTGAAGAAAACAAGAAACGTCAAGCTTTACCTGCTTCAGACGGAACACAGACACTCTTATCTGAAATGCCAAACGCGGGATTGAACCAGCACATCTGATCCGTCTGGCAGAGGAGGATTAGGAACAGAAAAGTTGTGTGTCTTCTGCAAAGTGACGGTGTGTACGTGTAATGAAAACATTCGGAGAGGTAAAACGCTAGATTTGATTAGGATTTCTCACCTGATTCATAATATTTACCAACTTTCGTCAACTCAAATATTCACATCACATCCACTCGTTCAAATGGCCAAAAAAAAAACAACCCGTTTAAATACGTTAGAAAAGGCAGAGTCGTAGGGCTAAGAGAAGGAACTTGGTTAGGTAACCAAACAAATAAAAGATCCTGGAAGATGAATCTTTCACCTTGTGGAGATCTTGGTTGGTCCTGAGTCCCCAGCCACACCCGTCTGTCTTCACAACCTCGGTTTCTGCGTAAAGCCGCTTAGAGAAACACTGATTCTCGCATCGGTCTCCTGCAGGACAAACCTAACGGCACAAACGTTACAAGTTAAGCAGAGTAACTTATCGCGTCTTCTGGCTTTATGATTAAAGAACAAATTAAAGGGACTGTAAGGAAGTTTGAAGTTTTTATGCTCGCGATCGCCCCCTCAGGCCTAACACGTAACTGCAGCTTCAAAAGTAAGCTTGTGAATGAGGTGTGCACGCTGTACGTGCACACTCAACGAAAATAACAGCTGAGACAGTTCCGTGTGTGTGCGTGTGCGTGTGCTGTGTGTGTGTGTGTGTGTGTGTGTGTGTGTGTGTGTGTGTGTGTGTGTGTGTGTGTGTGTGTGTGTGTGTGTGTGTGTGTGTGTGTGTGTGTGTGTGTGTGTGTGTGTGTGTGTGTGTGTGTGTGTGTGGCATGGAGGACAGAGGACAGGAGAACGCGCAGCTAATTAAATAATGTGGTTCTGTAGCTTTCTCTTCAGCACAGCCGACAAAGGTTTATGATGGGTCAGTCCTCCTGCATGCTCAGATCATTCCCTTCCCTTGCTTGAAAAATTGTTCCAAAATGAAAGTTGAACCCACATCTTTTTTATCTGTGAATTCAATGCCGTTCGGCGAGTCTCAAATAAAAATTTGGGCATCTTACTGTAAAAATATACCATTAATGTAAAAAAGAAACTCTAAATAAACTATGTTCCCATTCAGAATGCAACCCAGGTCTTCCGCACGGGAGTCAGGCGTCTTCCTAGGTGAGCTAAAGCGCCACTGACATTCTTTGTATCTGTAACTTTTATATCCTTGATGACAGCTGAAACAACGTCAAACCAAAGAACGGTTCAGAGTGAAAATGGCTATTTTGTTGCTAATTAGCAGGAAATATCTAGAAGAAAGTTCTACAGAAAGTAGCTAAGGGCCCTCAGAAATGTAGCTAGCTTTGTCACTAGGCGTTAGGAACAGCGACAAAGTGGCACTGCCTCTCTCTCTGCTGCTAAAGCTACGGATAGCAAATGCTACGGGCGATGCCTGAGCGTGAACGCGCATGAAGCAGCCTGCTCGACCCGAGCATCTCTCTTTTTCTGTGATTTTACAGAAAAACAGGCAATCACAGTAAAAATGCCAGGGCTCATTCTACAGGGCCAGGGCATTGCAGGAGAATGTATGAAGAAGACATTTATTATTTCTATACATGTTTTTGCTGTCAGACTTCCATAATGTCCCTTTAAATAAAAAGCACACAGACCTGCGGGTGACACTCGTACTGCAGCATGCGGTTGAGACATTGAGAGTCGTGGCTGCAAGGATGCTCGTCTGTGGGTTTGCAGTTGCATCGCTGGATTTCTGACAAGTCAGCCACGTGCATCAGCACTTTACCCACCGGCTTGTTGGCCTGGTAAAGAAAACATAACCAACTCAGTGACGTTCTGATTAAACATTTTTGACTTTTGATATCAAAAGGGCTTAAACCTTGATGAGTTTGTAAGGTGGAGGTTTACGAGAGTTGCGTTCCTGCTCTAAAGCCTCCCTGCTCTCCCTCTGTGCCTTTAGCTCCTGGAACCGCCGGGCTGCTTCTTCCAGAGCTGAAACATCAACGAAACATTTAATAAACTTCTTTTCCACTTTGAACTACAAAGACACTTTGGGGGCAGGAGTTACCCTTCTTGAAGGTTTTGTTGATGTTAATTTGCCCCGTGACAAAGTTCTTGTCATTCTCCACGTAGGGGAAGACCCGGCCCTGGTTGATCCAGTAGTAGTCGTGGGAGCCAAAGAAGAAGACGGGGAAATCACCGACGTCATGGCGAAGGCTCTGAATGTTTGACGGCACCAAGCGAGGGTTGCAGATCTCTGCCGGCCACCACCTGTCCCAAAACCAGACCAGGTGTGATGAGAAAAGAGGTCGAACGCTTTTGTTGTAATGCTTCATCTTTAATATCGTCATGATTAATAACACAACACTTTAGTAGAAAACTATTACATCCAGTATTATACCAAAAACAGTAGATATCGGGGCAATTTTGCGGTTTTCATTCAGTGAACGCGCTCTGGAGAAGTTGCAAAAGGTCTGATTGGAATACTGATGTTCATGCGTGCAGCTCTGCTGAAAGTCTGAAGACATTTCAGGGCTGTGGTGCACGTGTGAAAATGACACGACAGCTGTGCTCTGCTCAGAGCTTCCTCATCATCTCCACCTGAAACATCACATCCCGTTTTTGTGAAAAGTGTGAATTAAATTAGCTCATCTAACCCTAAATGATGATTACAACATTTCTGTTCATTTAACAAAATGTCACCGTTTATTTTTATGATCTTCATTTGTTTTAATGTTTTTTTTATCTTTTTGTTTGTTGCATTTTAATTCTGATGTCATTTTTTCTGTGAGGTGCTTCATAAATAAACTTTAATTACTACAAAGAATTTTACAGCAAAAAAGAAACAAATTTTTTTTATATTGATGACATTTAGAATCCAATAATTACATAATAATTTTAATTAAACAAATACACACATTTAAAAATAATTAAACAAATAGTCATTGAAATAGATAATAAATAAAATTGTAATAAAATCTAATAATGAATTAAATAATGATTAGCCAATAAAAAATTTCTAATAATAAATTAACCAAATCAAACAAATGAACTAATAATTACATGATAATTTAAAAAATGGAAGTAATAAATTCTATTGTAATAATAAATCAAATGATTAAACAGATTCTTACTCAACTCCCACTTCCTGTTTGAAAAACGCAACAAATGCTGTTGCCTAGCAGAACGAGAGGGCGGAGCCGCTAACAAATACACACACTCACGACATTGTGACATCATAATGTACCAGCTAACATCACAGTGTACCTCTTAGCCAATGGCGATGGCAGATTTAAATTCAAATGCAGTGCAGAGTTTTTACCTGAAGAGGGTGCAACGCTGACAGTTTTAGGCAGAAAATTTAAATTTAACCTAAGATGCACTAAAGTGCAGAATTATTGACTGCATTTGTCTACAGCACGATCAGACACTCATTTATATAGTTTATCAGCAAAAAAATGTTGATTTGGGGTGACTTGCGCTTTAAATAATAATTGAAATAAATATGAAATAAAATTGTTACAAAAAATTGAATAAAAATGATTTAAAAAATGATAATTCAATAATAAAAAAATCCTAAAGCAATTAAACTGTAATAATAAATAAATAAATAATTACATGATACTTCAAAAATGTTAAAAAATTACATCAATTACATTGTGATAACACATCAAATGATAAACAATTAACATAATATTCATATAATTAAATATTTATTAATAACCATTATGTAATAATTCACTATTAATTAATAACTAATACCAGTACACCAGAACCCTCAGCCGTCTCAGATCAGAGCTCTCTGCCTACCTGTAGTTGCCCAGTTTGACCCAGACTATTTGTTTGTAGTGAGGTTTCTTCCCCGCCCTGCAATCACTGCAGGACCAGGCACCCTCAGGCATCTCCATCTCCAGACACTCCGGGTGGAAGGAAGCTGGGCATGAGTCGCAGCACAGCAACTTGCCACCTACATTGGATACACACATGTGTTTGTGTGCGTGTATGTTTGAGTGTGTATGTGTGTGTTTGCGTGCGTGCATGCATATAGGGAGTGGGTATGCAAAGAGAGGAGGAGGAGTGTACGATTAGGTGATGCACATTTACACTTGGACAAACTCTGAATCTCATTTGCAGACAAGTGTAAGAAATTGGAAGAAAACAAAACAAAAGAAAAATGAAATAAAGTCATATTTTTTTAACATCTAGAGTAAAATGTTGAAATCTAAAGCTAATGGCAACATTTTGTCCCATTTCTGTATGATGAACTAAAGCTTGTTGCTCGAGTGAAGGCTCCTGTGACAGCCACACTGTGTGAAAATGTTTGGAAACTCCTTCATGTGCATCTCATGATGGCAACAGCATGTCTGGCAATCAGATTCAGAGCACTGTACCAAAACCAATCCAAGGGAAAAACATGCGGCAGCGCCAGAATAATGTCAGCCAGCAAGGTAGGAATTAACCAGGGTTATGCTCAAACAACACATTATTGGCAATAAGCAGGCATGCAGTCCTGCCAGAGAAGCAAACTTGTTCCATCGCACATCCCATCCTGCACAGACCGGCTTGCATGGAATCACAGGCTTACAATATTCCTGTTTCTGGATACTTTAATGAACTGTAAAACAATCATCCACATTTAGAGCTCTTTCACTGCTTAAAAGGAACAAAAATCGATTCCCGAACGGGATTTATATTCCATCCAAGGCAGGTCAAAGCTCAAGAAAATGGTGGAAGCAAAAGGTGTCACGTTATCTGATATTTTTGACTAAAAAAAAATTAATTCAACAATAAAAAAGTGCGGCTGAACAAAGCTTTTCCAATCCAAGACAGCCCAGAATGCCGAAGCAGAGAAGCAGCGCACCTCCAGCAACGATCCAAAAAACCAGATCCGGGATTAACCAGAACATCCTGCAGCAGGGCGTCACACAGAGCGACTGGAAGTTAGAAGATTTCCCCAGGAGAGAAACTTTTGGTTTGGTTTTGATTGACAGAATCTCAGAATGGGCGTCATGCAAGAACAGAACAAGCAAATACAAGCGGAGACGTGAATTCACCGGACTACGAGTGAAACAAGACTTCACAGGGCTACACTCGTTTTCCTTATAATAAACTCCTTATAATAAAACACACACACACACACACACACACACACACACACACACACACACACACACACACACACACACACACACACACACACACACACACACACACACACACACACACACACACACACACACACAGTACTATGACAGTTTAAAACCATTTCCAAGTAACAGAAATTGAACAAGATTAAAAATCACCTCCTAATATTTCATAATTAATAATAACAGGGTATCTACCGGTTTAAGGGAGCCAAATTTAAGACTTTTAAGAACTTTTTAAGGCCACTTTGACCAAATTTAAGCAATTTTTAAAAATTAAATTTAAGCTATGATTTCCAGCTATTGCCTGGAACCGGTGCTAACCACGTTGCAAATGTGGGATTAGCCATCCAGTTACCATTAAACTTGCACTTCCCCATGGCGCAAGCTCCCGCTAGCTTAACCAGCTAATGTGCTCATCTAAAAATAGCCCCCTTTCACAACCAGCTGAATGTGTACGGTTCCGCTTACGGCAACATCGTACACAAAAAATGCTGAACACTAACTAGAAATTCACCAAATTTTTATAGAAATAAAAGAATCTTGTTTATTGGGTCTTTGGTCATTTAAGTCCTTTGGAAACTCTATTTAAGGATTCTTTGTAATTTTTAAGGATTTTTAGGGCCTTAAATTTGGAAAAGCTAATTTAAGACTTTTTAAAGACCCGCCCGCGGATATCCTGTAATAATAAAATCCATATTCGAAACTTGTTTTAGTAACTCCATATCAATAAACTTGTCTTTGTAAAATCTTACGTGTGTTCTTGCTGTGTCGCATCTCTAATTCCATGCTGTAGTTATTTTTTAAAACACAGAGCAGTTTTGTTTACCTGTTTTCCCATGCGGGAAAACAGGTAAACAAAACTGCTCTGTGTTTTAAAAAATAACTACAGCATGGAATTGTCTTTGTAACATTTGTAAAGGTTTTATAATCAGACTAAAAACACAGCAGGGGTGAGAAAAAAACCCATCTTCAGTGACATAAAAACAAAACAGACCTCATCCGGGCTTTAATCCCAATAAGCAGCAATCCGGAGTTTTCCCCTTTTCAGGAATTCCGTATTATTTTACAGAAATTCGTAACGTGATAGTGATAGACTTTGGGTTGATCCAAACAAGATGTGGCGCAGAAAATTTCAGGCGAGTCCCAGAAGCTAAGGATAGAACTGGGTTCTATTTTTGCCACAAGCCACTTCTGGGATGAGAATATTTCTAGGAATGTCCCGTTTCGATGTTGGAAGTAGGGGTTAGGGTCAGATATCGGCCCAAAAAAAGTGCATCAGATTATATCAGACGGCATCAAAAATCTCCGATATGAGCAGTCCGTTAAGGTTCACATTTTTATTTTATTATTGACTCTTGTTCTCCGATTGAGTAATATCACTTGATCAAACCTTTCATACATTCCCTAGGGTTGGGTATCGTCAGATTTTGAACGATTCCAATTCCTCGTTTCGATTCCAGTTCCCATCGATTCCCGATTCAGATTCTTTCAAGACATTCCATGTTTTAAATGAGCCAGCTGACCACAGGTCCTACTTGATGAAATAATCTCAACTTCAACATGAATTTTAACTCTATGAACAACAACATCACCTTCATTTAGACACAAACGTGTTTTGGAGGAAAAAAGAAAAAGACTTGCAGCACAACTAGAGTGTTTGTTTCTGACCCCAACCAAAGTCTGGAAGCACCCTCTGGGATGAGAGGCTAAATGTCTCCAACATATCCAGAAACGTCCAGCTGTTTTCAGCTAAAGCTCTCAGGATGATCATGTCCAGGATGACTGAGAACTACACCTCCATGCTGCAGCAGCATTCAGGCAGAACAGGAAGTGAAACTTAAACGTAGCTGCTGTCAGTAACAATCTAACAGATTTAAACATTAAAACTCAACAGAAATAGTTCAGAAAGGAAATTAAAATGTTATTTATTATTAATATTATAATTATTTAATGTGGCAGAAGCTGGTGTGGTCCGCCACAGAGAAGCTGCTCTAGCAGGATGACTTCAGCCTTCTGACGCACGCGCACACACACACACACACACACACACACACACACACACACACACACACACACACACACACACACACACACACACACACACACACACACACACACACACACACACACACACACACACACACACACACACGAGTGTTGGTGAGCGGCTGCGTCTGACTGCTGACGCTCCGTGTGTGTTTTTATTTCTGCAGTGAGACAAACTCACCTCACACCGTCCACAGTTTGTTCTTTAAAGCTTCTATTTAATCCACCGTGTTGACGTATTTAACACGTTTCCTCTACGCTGCAGGAGTTAACGTTTACATCATGGAGTAAAAGTTCGGCAGACGCGTTTGTTTATATCTGGGTGGGGGGAGGGGGGACTCGGTGCTGCACACAGACAGCTGGTGTGATCAGCTCTGAAAAGCCTTGATCGCAATTTGCAGATCACGTTTATTTTTCCACGGAGATCGGCCGCGGATTCCTCTTCCGTCGGCATTCTAGGAATCGGAAAAAAAAAACTTTGAACGATTCCGGGAAAAACTAACAGTTGGAACCGGTTCCAATCGATGCTCGATGCCGAACCCTATTCCACACTACAAAATAGGTACAAGTATGTATAATTTGTGCTGATTTCATATCAGATCAATACCGATCAATACTGAAGACTGCAATATCAGTATCGAATCGGAAGAGAAAAAGTTGTATCGGGACATCCCTAAATATTTCCACAGTTAATGTTGGGCTAGACAGGAATCAAACACAGTGTCAGTGTAAAATGTCTGATGATTTTCAAAATAAAAGACAATTGCAGAGATGCGATATCTTATCTATCTAGATTACGTCAATACATGTGACCTAACGGCGTATTTACTCCCAGCATCTTTCGAGAGTGCAACGATTTCATGGCTGTAATCTTGGCAGTAGAGAGGCACAACATTATACATGACATCAAACAGTGATATCTTGGTTTGGATGGCTCAAACAAACCATGATCTTTGAAGTCTCAAGGGATTTTTTAATCGTGAGTCCAGCGAGGAGGATGAAGGAGATGCTCCCCTGGTGTAGATCGATGCGCCGCAAAGCACCCGAGTAAACCGTTCCGCACCTCTGAGGATTCCCTGTACTGTAGAGCCCATGCAATTTAATCTGACTACCATTCATTCTGGGGCGACGGTGACACAGGAGTTAAATGCTCGCCCCGTAATTGGAAAGTTGCAGGTTCAAGCCCGCTCAGTTTGTCGCTGTTGTTGCGTCCTTGGGCAAGGCACTTAACCCTCCTTGCCTGCTGGTGGTGGTGGGAGGGACCGGTGACGCCAATGCTCGGCAGCCTCGCCTCCGTCAGCTGTGGCTACAATGTAGCTCTTTCCCACCAGCGTGCGAATGTGTGTGTGAAAGGGTGAATGACTGATTGTGTTGTAAAGCGCCTTGGGGGGTTTCAAGACTCTAGAAGGCACTATATGAAATACAGGCCATTTTAACATTAGCCAATAGCATTAGACATCCGCTTACGTACAGATGTCAATCACAGAGTACGCACGAGCATTTTAGGATGTCCCTAGACAGATGCAGAGTTGTGTGTGTGTGTGGGCTTGTATTTGTACCCTTGTGAAGACCGAATTTGGGATATTTACTAATCTTCTTACGACTGATGGTCCTTTTTAGGACCAAAACCCGGTCCTAATACGGAGTACCCCCTAGGGGTGCGGTTTACAGATAAGATGTGAATTGAGTTTTTATTGCAGATAACTTTAGGAATACACTGGTTAGGGTTAGGCATAGTGGACTCACTAAAATGAATAGAAGTCAATACAAAGTCCTAACATGGTTACAAATACAAGTGTGTGTGTGTGTGTGTGTGTGTGTTTAGCTCTGGTGGTTGGCTAGAGGTGTGTGTTCTAGGGTTGTCACGGTAACCGGTGTAGCGGTATACCCCGGTAAAAAAGTTGACAATAATAATAACCGTCTTGTTTTTAAAAAAATATATCATCTCGGTGGATTACCGTGGCTGCGGTGTAGGCGCGGTGACCCTTACCAGCCACCGTATCATCTGCTGAGGTTGCCGGCGGCACATGCGCACTTTGTTGTTTACAACCAAAACTTTCTTGAAGCTAAAGCTGAAATAATGGCCAAAGGAGACGGCAGCGCTCAGGACATTTATTATCCCTCAAAGAAGACAAAGTGGGAAGTACGGGCATCTTTTGGATATTTGAAGAATGCCGAGGGACAGCTGATAGAATACGGCTATCCTGTTTGCAGCACGTGCAGAAAAAGAGTCTGTGAAAGGCAGCAACGCTTCAAATCTCATGACACATCTGCGTGACCATCACCCACAACTCTACAGTCAACGCAAGGCAAGCTAACGTTAGCGTTTTAGCTAAAATGCGTGATCCGAGGATTTGGGTTGAGGGAGAATGCAACGAGTCGCTATATAAAGCAGCCGCAGCGCCGCTACCTGCATATAAACCGTGTCGCGGACACCGCCATGTTGAAATGACGCTATGCATTACGGGGCTCCCAGGGGCAGATAAGAGTTGGTCTCTCTCCGAGAATAATTATGAATTTAACAATGATTACTGCCTGATGACATTTTCCCACATCTGCAAAGCTCACTGGAAGGACACAAACCGAGGACAATATCTTCCTCATATAGGGTTTATTACTCAAGTAAGGGTTAAAAAGTATCTGATTAGAAGGCTACTTGAGTACTGAGTATCATCTGGTCTAATATTTTTAAAATGATGACATCAAACAGACAAAAAATAAGAAGTTATGGGCAAATATTGGTATTTTAAAGACTAAAGGGGAAAAATGTAAACAAATAAACAACATAATTACAAAATAACACATTTTAGGCTAAATTTAGACACAAACTGAGGACAATATTTTCCTGGTATACAGGGTTTATTTTGAAAATGTAACATGTTTAAAAAAATACCGCGATAATACCGAAAAACGTGATAATTTTGGTCACAATAACCGTGAGGTTACATTTTCACACCGTGACAACCCTAGTGTGTTCACGAATGAGAGGCATTGCTTACAACTGCATCACAGGGGGAGGGGCTCACAGATGCAATACAGTGTTTCCACCACTAGGCGATGAAAAAAATCCAGATTACTTTTACTAAAAGTCTGAGTTATTTAATAAGAGGAAAAATCTGCAGAGGAACTCTGAAAATTTCTTCTAAGATGCATGAAACTGGCAGCACGACGTTCATCTTTAACAGGTTCTCAAATAAAAAAGTATTTATCAAATTTAGCTTGAACCTAACTTTATGGTGTGATCAACATTTGAACCCTGGTCTATTTCAGCGCCACATTCAGTGCCGAGGTAATGGATGCGAGGTTATCAGTTCGACCACATGCTGTTGTTTAACTGGAGTTTTACACACAGGTCACATGACTTCATCAGGGGAAGAAAGAAAGATGCTGAAAATTTTAAAAGAACAAAACTAAATCTGAATTATTTATTTCTGCCTCAGTGTACTGCTGATCAGATAGCACCATGTTGCGTTTAGATTTTCTGATCATTTCTGGTCCTCCGAAGACAAAAACATTTCTTACTTGTGACTAAATGAATCTTTTTGAACCCTTTTCTTTGAGCGGCAATTATATTTAAAGCAAACAGGGCACATCATTAGGAGAAGTGAGTCCGACTTCTTAGATTTTCCACCAGAAAATACCTCCCAGTAGGGATGTAAGGAAATGTCGAATATGACAATATATCGTGATATTTTCCCCAGCGATATTATATCGATATTCAAAAGCTGTGTATCGAAATGATCGATATCGCAATATATCGTGATATTTTGTCTTGCAAAAATGTATCGATATTCAAAAGTCGTGTAATTTTTGGAAGAATTTACATGGAAACATTTGTGTATTTTATTTTCTTGTGGTGCAATTCAAACGCCGACCACTAGTTGGCAGCAATGTGCAATGGGTTTGGTTTTTACCATTGAAATGTAAATCCCTCTGTTATGGTTTAACATGTTAAGTATCAGTTTGGACTGTTTATTGAATTTTCCTATAATAAATTTAGTCTAAAAAAATCGCCAATATCGTGTGACTGAATGTATCGCAATATATCGTGATACATCGTATCGTCTCCCCTGTATCGTAATACGTATTGTATCGCCAGAATTTCACCAGTACACATCCCTACCTCCCAATATATTCTTGCATGAGGCCCATTGTCATCTTGCACTTTGCTGAAGTTACTTTGCATCTCTATGCATTAAAAATAAACCACATGCTTAAAATCAGTTGATTAACCCCAAGGCTTTGAAAAAAAAAAAGTGTGCAAAAAATAAAATAAAAAAAAAGAAGGCAAACGAAATCAGAATGGGAGCAGGCACGACACAAACACAAACCAGTGTGACAAAGGAGAAAGAGAAAAACTGTTCAGTTACCTTTCCCAACATTCTTTTTGGTAGCTGACGAAGGAGAGGGAATCATAGGTAATTTCAACTCAGCACGATTTGACTCAGTCAGAAGGTAGTGGGACTTATAGGCATATGAACTTAATATGGTGTCAGTAAGGTCTTGCACTAACAGCCCTACACAAGACACACAGGAAGAGACGGGGGTGAGCCGCAGTCAAACTCCAAGTTCACCCAAAAATTTTACAAAAGAAAGGGAGAAACACATGTGCACAGCCTCTCACACGCACACAGAGTTGATCCTCATCGGCATTCAGGACAGATGTTTGGTTTTTATTTTCAAGTGGAGTGCAGTGTGACAGCCTGAGTTTCTGTCTGAGTGATTACCGTGATGGAAAGGACATTAAATCTGACAGCGCTGCTGTGCATGAGAAATATATCAGACATAAAATAACCAATATAAACATTGAACATCTAAACTTGTAGGTTTCACCCGGCGACTTTCAAATCTCTAAAAAGATCAGAAAAGTCAAGCTAGAAGAAGCCAGCTGAAGCAATGAAGTTGGGGAGGGGTGTCTTCTGAATCACAGCTATGGTTGTGGTGAGGGTGGGGGTGGTGTGTGCGAGTGTGTACAGGTGTGAAAGCTCACCTCTGGCGCACAGAAAGCACCATCCCACGTTGACGGGGGAGCTGAGAAGGCCGTTCTTCTTGGCGCTGCCGTGATTGCTGCAGATCATGATGTGATGGGTGAGGATGACGCTGCCGGCCGCCAAACAGCCGTCGCCAGGGTGATACGCCAACGGACAGCGGATGCAACGGATGAGACGGCCTGTGGGAGCGCAACAGGTGTACGTTAGCAGTGACATCACTAAATAAGCAGGATGTTCTTTAGACAGGAAGGAATCTCTGCAGGTAAACATCGACGAGATATTTGACAGTTTCATCTTTCAGGCATGAAATCATCTAATTAACACGCTGAAAAGCTTTAGGAGATGCTTTCTGGTTGAACTAAAAGAAAATCCAATGTATCTGGGTGATATTTAACCTTTTTGTTTTTAACATATTGACATCTCCTGATATGTCGCTTTAGAAAAGCAGATTTAGGCCTAGTCCACACGTAGCCGGGGTTTTTTGAAAACGAATATCCGCCCCTCCAAAAACTTGCATCCACACCACCGCGTTTAAAAAAAACAAACTCTGTCCACACGTACTCGGATAAATACGTTGTTAAGGACATGCCAGACCTGTAGGCGGCAGTACTTCCCCCGTTCTTAACCTCGTCCTTCGTCTGTGGTCTTCCGCAAGGAGCAGTAATTCCGCTTGCAAAAACAAACAAGCAGAAAGCGCTTGGACCATTGATGGATCGGGTAGTGACAGAGCGCAGCTCTGAAGGCATCCATGCTGTTGGCTAGTGTAAACACAGGTCACACACGTGATGTCAGCATTTTTTGTCGCGGAAAGTGACGTTGCGGACCTTAAAACTCCGGTTTTGTCCGTCCACACGCAGACACCCAAAACGGAGAAAACGCAGATCTTCACTTTGGCCGGAGTTTTTAAAAAGATCCGTTTTCGTGTGAAAAAACTCCGTTTTCGTGTGGATGACAGGCCAAAACGTAGAAAAATATCTACGTTTTGGCAGATCCCCGGCTACGTGTGGACAGGGCCTTAAAGTCAGGCATATCCGTGGACAGCCTGGAGCTGCTGCAGAATTTTATTCAGACGAATATCCTGAAAATCATCTTTTTAATAAAGGCTCACAGTATCTGCAACTGACCTTTCTTCATATCCACCTGTTTTATTTGATACTTGGTCAGTTTTTTATTTGATTAAAATCGGCCATGAAAGTCAGCCAAAAAAAAAAAAAAAAAGGAGTCGCACCACATATCGGCATCAGCAAAATCCATATCAGTCCATCTCTAAACCAAACCCAAACGTGTGAAGAGAACATCCAAACTGACAAAGAACTAGGGTCGTCACGGTGTGCAAATGTAACCTCACGGTTATTGTGACCAAAATTATCACGGTTTTCGGTATTATCGCGGTATTTTTTTAACGCGTTACATTTTCAGACAACTACATAAACCCTGTATATCAGGAAAATATTGTCCTCAGTTTGTGTCTAAATTTTGCCTAAAATGTGTTATTTTGTAATTATGTTGTTTATTTGTTTACATTTTTCCCCTTTAGTCTTTAAAATACCAATATTTGCCCATAACTTCTTAGTTTTTGTCTGTTTGATGTCATCATTTAAAAAATATTAGACCAGATGATACTCAGTACTCAAGTAACCTTCTACTCAGATACTTTTTTACCCTTACTTGAGTAATAAACCCTATATGAGGAAAATATTGTCCTCGGTTTGTGTCCTTCCAGTGAGCTTTGCAGATGTGGGAAAACGTCATCAGGCAGTAATCGTTGTTAAATTCATAATTATTCTCGGAGAGAGACCAACTCTTATCTGCCCCTGGGAGCCCCATAATGCATAGCGTCATTTCAACATGGCGGTGTCCGCGACACGGTTTATATGCAGGTAGCGGCGCTGCGGCTGCTTTATATAGCGACTCGTTGCATTCTCCCTCAACCCAAATCCTCGGATCACGCATTTTAGCTAAAACGCTAACGTTAGCTTGCCTTGCGTTGACTGTAGAGTTGTGGATGATGGTCACGCAGATGTGTCATGAGATTTGAAGCGTTGCTGCCTTTCACAGACACTTTTTCTGCACGTGCTGCAAACAGGATAGCCGTCTTCTATCAGCTGTCCCTCGGCATTCTTCAGATATCCAAAAGATGCCCGTACTTCCCACTTTGTCTTCTTTGAGGGATAATGAACGTCCTGAGCGCTGCCGTCTCCTCCTTTGGCCATTATTTCAGCTTTAGCTTCAAGAAAGTTTTGGTTGTAAACAACAAAGTGCGCATGTGCCGCCGGCAACTTCAGCAGATGATACGGTGGCTGGTAAGGGTCACCGCGCCTACACCGCAGCCACGGTAATCCACCGAGATAATATAGTTTTTTTAAACAAGACGGTTATTATTATTGTCAACTTTTTTACCGGAGTTTACCGCTACACGGGTTTTCCTGATATAGGGTTTATTACTCAAGTAAGGGTAAAAAAGTACCTGATTAGAAGGCTACTTGAGTACTGAGTATCATCTGGTCTAATATTTTTAAAATGATGACATCAAACAGACATAAAATAAGAAGTTATGGGCAAATATTGGTATTTTAAAGACTAAAGGGGAAAAATGTAAACAAATAAACAACATAATTACAAAATAACACATTTTAGGCTAAATTTAGACACAAACTGAGGACAATATTTTCCTGATATACAGGGTTTATGTAGTTGTCTGAAAATGTAACACGTTTAAAAAATACCGCGATAATACCGGAAACCGTGATAATTTTGGTCACAATAACCGTGACAGCCCTACTCCAGTGCGACTTATATATGTTTTTTTCTTCTTCATTATACATTTTATGGCTGGTGCGATTTATACTCTGGAGCGACTTATACTCCGGAAAACACGGTATTTGCAGCTGGTGCACCCCTGTTTAGAAGGTGGTGGAACACCTTGATTATTCGTTTCCAGAGGGGTTATTTGTGGCATGATAACACATCACTTGTCAACGATATTCCCAGGGACTCTGCAGTTGCTTTCTGTGACTGTACTTTTCGTCCACCTGATCAGATCTTTCAGTTTAAGGTAGAACTGGATGTACCTAGAAGATTTAAGATAAAAGCAAAGCCTTTAAGCTTTTTTTTTACCATCTTCTCAAACCAGTTGCTCTCATCAGTAATGGCACATGCCTCATTTCCTCCTTTAGAACCCAAATCATCACGCTCTACCACAGTGATGAAGGCTTTCGTCTCGGAATACGATTTCATTTTTTTTATTATGCACATTTTTTCCTCGTTCTCGCTGTTAGTTCAGGCAGACGCTTGGAAGCCGCTTTACCTTTGCTGGCTCGCTGCACGTCTCTCTCCAAGCAGCAGGTCGAGCAGCTGTGCTGAGGGCAGCTGAAGCCTCCACCAGAGCTGCTGGTGGCTCCAGGAAGTTTCTGGACACACTCCTCGTGGTAGTAACACCCGCAACCCGCAACTGAGCAGCGAGTTACCTCCTTGCCTGCCTCTTTACAGCTAAAACAAGGATGACTGCCTGAAAAGGGCAACGAGAGAACAACACTCAACACATCGGGGAGCTGAACTCGGCTCAGGAGAGGACGAGGGTGTCGGTGCTCTCACCGTTTCTGCACTCGGAGCAGACGAATCTGCCTTCGGGTGGAGACGACAGACCGAGACACTCCAGGTGAAACTGTCTGCTGCAGTCACCCTCACACACGAGCAAACCCTCACCGTACACCTCACAGATCTAAAAAAAAATTCATCTAGTAAATCTCATATTTATGTGTTTTTAGGATGAAAATCTCCAACCAGATGGATCAGGAGTAGAGCTCACCTGGCACACAGTGTCTCTCTTTCCAGCGCTGCTGTCCTGACGGGACAAGCCGGAGTCCACAGACTGAGTATCCGAGGCGTCTGCATCCGCTGCTGCCGGACTATCCAGGCTCTTCCCAAATAAACCCTGGAGAACCACAAAGCTAACATGAGATTTAAGCTTAGGAGTTTCATTATTTTTCTGACGTCTTCATGTTATTCTATTAGATCAACCTGTGGGTCGCTGAGGCCTCTGGAGTCAGAATCAGAGGTGTCTCTGTACTGAGATGACGCCATTTCAACATCTGTTGATGCCCTGCTTCGCTTCTTCAGGGGCTTACACGCATCCGAGATCTCACTGGCTCCTACAGGATCACAACGTGTTTTTTTTTTTGTTTGTTTTAAAGAGATTCCAGTCGGAGATCTACGGGAGGCAAAAAAGATGTCCTCGTACCTTTCTGTGAACCCGTCTTCAGTGTGGTCTCCGGCGCCATCTCAGCCTTTAAGGAGGTTAAATGTCTGTTTATTTCAACGTTAATTTTTAAACAGCTAATGGAAGACAAGTCTCCCCTCACAATATCACAAATGCATTAATAGCCTTTTGGCATCAAGTAAAACCTCAACTGGGCTTCTGAGCTCAAACTCCATTTAATCTTTTATGCGTGATGACGTGACTGTTGGCTCCATGCTGTAGTTCTTTTTTAAAACACAGAGCAGTTTTGTTTACCTGTTTTCCCGCTTAGCGGGAAAACAGGTAAACAAAACTGCTCTGTGTTTTAAAAAAGAACTACAGCATGGAATTAGATACGACACAGCAAGAACACACCTAAGATGTTCAAAGTTACTGTTGGCTGATGATGAGGAGGAAATGGATGAAGAAAGTAAAACGGATAATCTTCGGCACCGAGGCGGACTCATACCTGTTCTTTTTTGGTTTTCTTCTTGGGGATGGGATCGTTGCCTCTCTCCGACTCTGATCTGCTCCTGCCTGACCGCCGCTGAGGTTTCCTCTCCTGCGAACCTAAAGACACAAAAATACCGACGTGTAGGGATGTGTACTGGTGAAATTCTGGCGATACAATACGTATTACGATACAGGGGAGACGATACAATGTATCACGATATATTGCAATATATAGTCATACGATATTGGCAATTTTTTAGACTAAATTTATTATAGGAAAATTCAATAAACAGTCCAAACTGATACTTAACATGTTTAACCATAACAGAGGGATTTACATTTCAATGGTAGAAACAAAACCCATTACACACTGCTGCCAACTAGTGGTCAGTGTTTGAATTGCACCACAAGAAAAGAAAATACACAAATGTTTCCATGTAAATTTTTCCAAAAATTACACGACTTTTGAATATCGATACATTTTTGCAAGAAAAAATATCACAATGTATTGCGATATCGATAATTTCGATACACAGCTTTTGACTATCGATATAATATCGCTGGGGGGAAATATCGCGATATATTGCAATATCGATAATTTTGATACAGCTTTTGAATATCAATATAATATTGCTGGGAAAAATATAACGATATATTGCAATATCGATAATTTCGATACACAGCTTTTGAATATCGATATAATATCGCTGGGGTAAATATCGCGATATATTGCCATAATTGACATTTTCTTACATCCCTACTGACGTGCTTTTAAAACTCCACCAGTGAAAGTATTCATCCAAACATTGACTCACCATGGGGACTACTGTGGGGAGATCCAGGGGAGGAGGTCTGCTGATTTCCTCCCTCCTCACTCCTTCGGCTGGCAGGGGACCCTCTCCGCTCGTCTCCCTCTTCGTCTCCATCTCCTTCATCGCCCTCCTCCTCTTCCTCGGGACTGGGCTCAGGTTTTGCTCTGCTGTCCTGCTGAAAGCGACATTTAGACACAACCTCACAGACAACCCCGTCTGTCTCTTTCTGTCCGAGTCACACCCACCTCAGGTGAGCAGTACCCCAGGTCAGGCTGCCGCGCCTCCCTCTCCACTCCCTCCTCCTTCTCCTCTTTGTTCTTTTTTGGGGACGAAGCAGCATTCTTCTGCAGGAGAGGCCAATCACACTTTGTGATCTCCACATTCAGCCTCTTCATTGTGATGGAGACAGGCAGCAGCTTCCTGGCGGCCGCCGTTTTCCAGGCCCTGACCGGAGGCGGCGGAGAGTCCTGTTGCGCGTCACAGCTGGCGTTCTGTTTCGGTGAACCCTTCTTATCCAACTCCCCCTTCTGGTTCTTCTCTTCGCTTGAAGACTGAGAGTTTGCGCTGTCCTCCGTGTTTGAAATGCTGCACTGTCTCCGAGGCAGCAGCCTGCGTGGCGGCAGCTCTCGCTCTGGGGACTTCACGGCCGCGTCCTCCTTCTTGGTGATGGAGCCGCTGGAGCGCCGGCTTCGTTTTTCAGCTTTGGCGGCGGGTTTCTTGCTGGGCGCAGCTTCGACAGGATCTGGGTCCACATAGATGAAGGTGTAGTTGTCGATCCGCTCCTGGCGCGTCATGAGGAAGGCGTCCTCGGCGTGGCCGACACCCACCTCCCACTGAGCGCGCTCCCGCTGAGGGATAGGCTTCAGAAGCTGAAGAGAAAATAAAGCATAAAAACTTTCTATTAACTTCTGACATCTGCGATAATTTAGGAGATAAACAGCAGCAGCATTTTTATTCAACTTTACTCCACCGTTCTGACTCCATTTACTCCAAAACCAGTTTTGATTTTGTTCCTTTAATAGCAAATGAGTAAAGACTTATTACATAAAAGATATTTTTGATCTCATAAAACATAGATTAACAAGTCTAACAAAGGGCAGCTCTTCCTTTCTTTATGTGAAGAAGAAAATGTTTGTGTTGGAGTGTTGATTTTAGCAGAAAATCATGTAAAAAAACTTTACTGAAACATTTTGTGGGATCTGTTGCGGATATTCTCTAAAGCCGGGCGGACACCGTGCGACTTTTTCACTCGTAGCACTCAGCTTCAGCTCAAACTGTACGACTTCCTCGCAGGGCAGATCTCACGAGTCATGCGCTCACACTGTACGTGTGGTAGCAACACGTCGGCCCTAAAAATATGCTAAAAATAGCAGTTTTTACTCAACACGTTAGACTTTTTTGTCTTGTCTTGCCTGTTGTCCTTCGGGAGTGCTGCAGGAGGACACACAGGGATTTATGGGGGTTGGATGAGGAAAACGAAATAAAGAAAGTAAATCTGTGTTTTGTGATCAGTTTAATTTGACATGAACACGACAAACACGCTTTCTTGATGATCTTTGTGAGTAAAAAAACGTGTAGAAATTAAAACGAACAACGTGTGTTATTAGGGAAATAGCGGGTGAGCGGTGTTGATGCATGACTGTGCATGCGCCGTGAGCGGTTCTGATACTTTTTGGGTCGCAGCTGCTCGCAGCGCCGCTTCAACAGTGCGATACCCTCACGAGGGACGAGCGAAATATCAAACACGTCAAAAGTCCGTGCGAGCTCACGACTGCTGATCGGCGGCTGGTCACGTGGTGTTAATCGCCTCTCGTAACCCCCTGTACACTACACGACGCTCGGCGCAAAACTCGCCCCGATCTTCTGGATTCTCACGAGTGGAACAACGGCTCAAAAAAGTGAAAAAAAAATCGCACAGTGTACGTCCGGCTTTAGGTGATGAAAATAAATCTGAAAAGCTGCATTTTATTATATTCATCCATCCATTTTCATCCGCTTATCTAGAGTCAGGTCGCGGGGGCAGTAGCTTAAGGCGAGAGGCCCAGACTTCCCTCTCCTCAGCCACTTGGGCCAGCTCCTCCGGGGGAATCCCAAGGTGTTCCCTGGCCAGGTGAGAGACATAGTCCCTCCATCGTGTCCTGGGTCTACCTTTAGGTCTCCTCCCGGTTGGACGTGCCTGGAAAACCTTACCAGGGAGGCATCCAGGAGGCACCCTGACCAGATGCCCGAGCCACCTCAACTGGCTCCTCTCGATGTGGAGGAGCAGCAGGTCTACTCCAAGCCCCTCCCGACTGACCGAGCTTCTCACCCTATCTCTAAGGGAGGGCCCAGACACTCTTCGGAGAAAACTCATTTCGGCCGCTTGTATCAGCTATCTCGTTCTTTCGGTCACTACCCAAAGCTCATGACCATAGGTGAGGGTAGGAACGTAGATCGACCGGTAAATCGAGAGCTCCGCCTTCTGACTCAGCTCTCTCTTCACCACGACAGACCGGTACAACGCCCGCATCACTGCAGATGCAGCACCAATCCGCCTGTCGATCTCACGCTCCAGTTTTCCCTCACTCGTGAACAAGACCCTGAGATACTTAAACTCCTCCACTTGGGGCAGGACCTCATCCCTGACCCGGAGAAGGCATTCTACCCTTTTCCAAATCAAGACCACGGTCTCAGATTTAGAGGAGCTGATTCTCATCCCAGCTGCTTCACACTCAGCTGCGAACCGCTCCAGCGAAAGCTGAAGATCACGTTCTGATGAAGCCAACAGGACCACATCATCTGCAAAAAGCAGAGACCTGATCCTCAGGCCACCAAAACGGATGCCCTCCACACCTTGGCTGCGCCTAGAAATCCTGTCCATAAAGGGAATCTGAACAAGGGCAGCCTTGGCGGAGTCCAACTCTCACTGGGAACAAGCCCGACGTACTGCCGGATATGCGGACTGAGCTCTGACAGCGGTTATATCTATATTTAAAATGGTTTGTTTTATTGCCACTTTAGCTAGTTATTCAGAACCACTGTAGAAGGTGTAAAGAGCCACAGTTGGCTCCAGAGCTGCAGACCTCTGATCTAGTTTCTAACTAAACTTTAAGTGAACACAGGTCTTTTTCACCTGCCTTAAACACGATAAAACACGGTTAAAGGCAAAGTCTTCTCATTCTCCTTTCATCACATCATCATAAAACATATAAATCGTCTCCAATACTAATGTTTATAATATAAATACGAGGTCACTTTCTTCACAAAAGTCTCAGCAATGACATAAAGAAGTCCCATAAGCACATTTCTGATGGAAATCAAAGTTTAATCTACGACTTATGATTAACTTTCTTTTCTAGCTCACTCTGTTTAGAAATGAACCTACTTTCTGCTTCTCCACTGGGTTGGTGGTTTTGCGTAGCGTCTCTGCCTGAAGCTCATCAAACTGCTGCTTGCCCTGGTACGTGGTTATCCTCTTCTCATGGATCCACGCTCGCTCGGCGACGCTACCAAAGAACTGGACGTGATATTCTCTGTGACCTATCGGAAACAAGATCACGGACGTTGACCTTCTAGATAAAAGAATAAAGCAGGTGCATCCACCGTGTTGGGGTGATTGTTTTTGTTAGGACTTACCTCTGGTGTTAATGCGAGTGTGAACCTTCATCTGTGGGTCGGAGGAGACCATACAGGGCCACCAGGGGTAAGTGCCCACCTTGGACCACACCAGATCTCCGATTACAAACTCCTTACAAAAGCCAGTCTCCTGGATCACTGATGGATGATGGACTTTAGGAACCTAAACATGAACATGTTTGGTTTTAAAATCTTTCAAACGTTGCCGAGCGGAGAGGAAGGAGCTGGAACTTGCCTTTGGTGTCTTTGGTTCAGTTTTGACGACGGTTTTCTGAGGCTTCTCTGTCTGGGTCGGCGGCGTTTCTCTTGGCGAAGGCTGGACGTGGGTGTCCTCCGTCTCGCCCGTTGTACCTGCCTGCACTTGGCTCTGGTCTTGGTTCGGTTCCTGGACCTGCAGCTGCAGCCTCACACTCTTTTTCCTCTTCTCCTTCTTCCTCTCGTGTCTGCGCTGCATCTGAGTAGCCTCGTTCTTCTGCGACTCCTTCTGCAGGAGGAAAAGGGCAGAAAATAGAGGAACGATAACATTTTTTTTCTTCTTTTTAAAGTAAACTGAGAATTTCTGGCGAGTTCCAGTTCAAAACCCGATAATCAGTAAGTTGCCGTGTTTCTGTCACGTGCAGTTATGACAACTACAATTCTCCATGCGTTACCTGCAGCTCCTGCAACAGATCTCCACACAGTGCCGATTCAAACAGCTCCTTTCCGTTTTGATACGTTTTTATGATCTTCAGTTTAATCTCTGGAGAACTGGTTTTCTTCAGCACCCCACCAGGGGTGTTGGACGGAGTGTGAGTAGGTTGAGATGAGGGGGTGCAGTCCACAAGGGAGGGGGGAGGGCTTGAAGATGGGAGGTGTAATGGGGGAGGAGGTGGGAGAGTTTGGGTCATGATGTGAGGTGTCTGAGACAGGTGGTGCTGGGAAGGAAGAGGTTGCGGTGGGGGACTCTGTGGGTGTGAGTGTATATGAGTTGGGTTTGGGTGGAAGGAGTGCACGTGGTGTTGATGGTGATGGAGGTGTGGGTGGTGAGTGGGCAGTGGGGGAGACACAGGAGACAGAGGTCTCTCCTGGAGACCAGGACCTCTCAGGACAGTTCCCTCCCCTGGCAGGAGACCATGCTCCCCGTAGCTCCGTAAGGCCCCGTAGCCATTGGCCGAGCCATTGGGGAACTGCGAGTACATGGAAAACTTGGCCTGGGACTCGTACATGCCCAGACCAGGTGGGTAGCCATTTGGAACCTGCGGCATGTCCTCCGAGGCTGAAGGCGGGTACGAAAACTCTGCGTCCAGGGCAGCATCATAGGAGGGACCGCTATCCTCACCCGGGTCACTGCCGGTGTCACAGGTGCCTTCCTGTCTGATGTTAGCTGAGTCAATGAGCTGAGGGGGTTGCTGAATTGTATTTCCCATGATCCCTTGCATGAAAGAGAAGGAGAAATCCATTGTTGTGCTCCTGCATCCTTAACTGTCTTTTTCTTTGACTGGACCTTAAGACAGAGATGTGTGATTAGATCATTGTGACTAGAACGACTACACAGACACACACAGATTCTCATGTGCATCATGCTCATGCAGGGGTGCCCAATCCTAGGCTGGAGATCTGCTATACTCCATGTTTTAGTTGTTTCCCTGCTCCAGCATACCAGCCTTGAATCAACAGAAGATTAACAGACTTCTGCAGGTAACTCAGTCACAGAATCAAGGGTCGAGCAGGGAAACAACTAAAACATACATAATAGTGGCCCTCCAGGACCAGGATTGGGCTCCTCTATCATACATTTATTTGTACATTGGATTTAGCAGTTTGTGGAAACTACTTATTTTAGTATTGTTGCCCAGGCAGCCATCACTGGCAACAGCGTGATGTTTCTTGCTAAATTGGGTTTAATGTGTCAAAATATTTTTATTTTGCTGCCAACAAACTCCACAAAACCAAAATAATAATAAAAATCTAGTCTGAGATCAACTTCCTGATATGTATATTGTGAAGATTTAGTCTTGAATTTTTAAAATAATATCCAAATTAGGGATGCACCGATACCGATACTGGTGTCGGTACCGATACAGATACCGATACCAGTATCGGTAAAAGTTAACAGATACCAGTAACTGATACCAATGCAGTTGCTTGAAAGTGACTTCACTGTAACTTGTCATTTCTGTTCACCTAATATTTTAGTTTTGTGATCACTTATATTACTTTTATCTACCTCACCGTCTTCTATTGAAAACAGAAGAAAATAAAACCTGTAGTCCAATTCATTACATTTTTTGTGTGGTAGAAGTATCTGTATCGGTAATCGGTATCGGCGAGTACTCAGATCCAAGTATCGGTATCGTACCGGTTTGGAAAAAAGTGGTATCGTTGCATCCCTAATCCAAATGTATTGGATTTGTTGGCTGCAGACAACAAATAGCTGCATCAACTTTGTATTTAAGGAATTGTGTTTAAGGATCTAACGTTTTTAATCATGAGAGTTATTTGTAGAACAAAAGTTGTATAAACATTCGAACCGGCAGATCGGTTGTAATAAGTATTTTTTAAATATGCAGATTAAATGTTAATCACTATTACCCAGTACATGCACGGAAACAAATGAGAACTGAACCATGCAAACATTTTAGGCAGTTAAGAAAACATTGCATGCTTTACCAGACAGCTGAATGTAAAACTAAACAAATAGCTCATAATAAATGTGCATGTAAACATGGAAAAAAATCAGAGAATTTATCAGCAAAATGAATACTAAATTCTTGGTCAACTGCATTTATGACAAGAAGGCTTTGCAGGGTTTTCTTTAACATCCATTACTCGTGATTGCAGCGCTTATTTGTGTGTTTTTCTATTATTATTACATCAACACACAAACACATGGTGGCCAGTTTTCAAAAACAAAGAACAGCTTCGTGTGGCTCCGTCCCTTCTTCTGCGTTAATATTCGTGAGGGCAATAATCAGGTTAAAAGTGTTAAGTGAATTGGACTAATCCACTCATTGTTATTTAATGTGAGCACCACTCCGGCTGCTCAGCACGAGAAATGTAAATAATGTAAACATCTACACGGTGTCAATTAACGTTTAGATTTACAAGATACCCCAACGACTCCGTAATATGGATATGTTCTGTTTTAACGTGTTGAAATGAACAACATCTGGCTACAGCGGTGTGGCTTTTATCTTTGGCGCAGGAAAATATTTCTCTGGATGATATTGTGGCTTCCTGCGATGTTAGCTTCCACGCTACCTGGGGGCCATGATGGGAAAACGGTTTAAGAGCGCAAAAAACGAAGTACAAAACAAGTTTACGACTATTTATGTTTGTGCGCACACGTTTAAATGAATGCGGGCATTTAACAACGCGGAACAGTCGTGAAAAAGATGAAAGGGGAAGCTAAATGTTAGCTAGGCTAACGCTGCAATATGGCTGCCTGAGCCCCTTTAAATCAAATTGTCTGCCGTGATTATACCTCCATCACTGGAGCAAAAATGTATTCAAAACAAGCAAGATATCAGCAAGAACCGCCAGTACCGAGGCAAGAGGGGAGATAACAACATGCAGATACGGAAAAACACTCGTCGCTCAACAGCAAAAGCAAAGGAGCAACACAGATTTTTGAAGCCGAGTCGAAAGATGCAGTGAAATAAAAAAAGATGTCAATACCTTCAGCGTGTTCCATTCTAAACACATACACCAGTCAGTAATGGTTCCTCGTTTAATCTGCAGCAAGTAAAAATAAAAAACAATACTGAGATATTGGCAAAGCTTAGGCCTTTCCTTTTTCGTTTTATCGCAATTCTCAACAGAAAAGAGGATGAGGAGGAGGGGGTGTTTACGCTATCTGCTCGCTACCCAATCCCAAAGCCTGGCTCTTCGTCAATGCAAGGACCCCAGTATTTAGTCGGAACCCTGTTGGCGACAGACACGTTTGATTCTCGCCCCTTCCTGTCTTCTTAAATCTAATCTCTAGCTCCCTCTTCCTTTGGTTTTTCAAACGCGCCCTGCGTTGCTTTTAAGCCCCGCTCGGTGCTCTGCTCAGCGCCAAATCATCACCCAGATGCGGGCTGTAGGGGGTCAACAGAGGCACTACGGGATGTGTAGTTCACTTCAGGGGCCAAACAGGGAAAACAGAAGAACTCCAGATGCGGAGATGTCGTACAGTTAAATAAAGTTATGGACTGGCCTGTCATTTTATTTTATTTTGATGAATAAAAAATGAAATATGTTTATGTTGTATTTGTTAGATCTTGAATTGTATTATTCTCTCAAAGCAAAACGTCATGCGAATACAGTAGTTACGTTTGCACCACCGTCTCTGATTGGCTCCTCAATGCCTCATCGGCTGTCTGCAGCTGAGATGAGACAAAAGGAAAGACCTCTCACGCTGTAGGTTTTATCCAGCGTGATAGATGATGGCGAGCGCGTGAAAACTATTTAGTTTGAGTCTTGTACCAAGTTAATAATAATTATATATCGATTCCAGTATTAGATCTACTTAATCCTTACAATGCAAAGTCTTTGGGGGATTTGTATAAAATGATAGAAGACATTACTCTTTACGAAATAAATTAAATAGTATTGTAGAGACAATACATTTTGGTTGTTAAGACTAAGTAAAATATATCTAAAGACCTGGCAGGATTGGGATAACGTTTGTTGTTATGTTCAAAACAGAACATTTGTGGAATCAACATCCTAAATCCTCTCTTTTTAAAATGAAGAAAAACAAAATAGTAAGTCATCTTCCTATTATATACGCTCTTTGTCTTGCTCGGCACCCAATATTTACGCATGCTCACTACGATCTCAGCGGAGCTGCCTGTGAAGGCTGCTCGCGCGGTCAGAGCAGATAGGAACGCGACTTTTACAGAGACGATTTAAAGCCTAAAGCTACTGTAAATGGGTTTATCACTAAATCAGTCGTTAGTTTCGCCGATCACGTCGACTTCGACGGCTTGTTTTGGATGGATTATCTTGTTCACGTCTCAACAAAAAGCCTCCCAGCGCCCTGCCAGCTCGGTCACTGACGTTGGAGGTTAGTGGGCTCCATTTTCAACCGATAGCAGTAGCAGCCATCGGCTAAGCTAAGTGTTGTGGGGAAAAAGGTACCCCGACCGAAGCGCACCGGTTTAGCTCGCGCTACGGCTTTGATTACGTTCTAACATGTTCCCGATACAGGTTTCTAATTTTATTATCTTCTTGCTGAAGAGTTATTTCATGTTTTATTTTAAGGCTAGTTACGCCTTAGCTGTTTCTTCGCACTATCTTGTTTTTTTTTTTTTGGGTGACTTGCACGTTTTAATGGAAAGTTACCAAAGTACTCCTGCGGAGAGTTAGCACCAGGACTGTTATTTATGCGCAAAAAGAAACAGAAAACATTGAATGTATATTATAAATTTATTTTAACACGAGATATTGTAGCATGGCATATATGTCCAAAAATGACAGTGTAAACAACAATGTGTAAAATGGCGTTCGTACATAGGTAGCTAACTTGTTACCTCAGACTAATTCATTTTAGTGCTTGTCTGGCTATGTGATGAATGCTGGTGTATTCCTGCTGTATCAGACGTGTAAACCGTAACCTGACCCCTGCATGCTCTCCGTCTCCATGTGAACCATTTGACAGAACACCGTGACCCGACTCTGCGATGGCGGTCTTCAGTCACCAGGTGCTCTTTGCAGTCACAAGATCAAGGTAAGCAGGTCGTTACAGCTGAACATGGGGTTTGTAATCTGGGAACAAAATGTCAGTGCAGCTTCAGTTTATATCTCATCACTAAGGTAAACAGTTACAAACAGTTGAGTAGTGTCTGCAGTGTGCCAAGAGGAAGCTGCAGACTGTTGAAATGAAAGTGTGTCGACCTCATGACTTAATCATAAAGCATGAATAGACCTCCCCCTCTTTTATAGTCTTGATTTGCATCATTTCCATAAACTTTTCTTGGCACGATGCCTTCCAGGGGGCTGAAAGACTTCTCCTTAGGGTTTAGTGGTTTTTGTTTAATTTCTGGAATTGTGTGAAGTGGGGAAAAGACAGCTAATTCTTAGAAGTCAATATAGACACAATAACACACCAAACAAAGGATTGCTCTCAAGGTTTCCTAGAAATAGGCGTAGAGGCTTGTGATCGGATGATTCACCAAACTATTTAAGAGAAATATGTAATAGGACTGCCTGAGCCACAGTATGACAATTCCTTTCTGAATATTTACTTTTGAGGAAGTAAACAGTTGGTTTATTTGCCTATTCACTTATTTTTACTACTCATCATGCTATTTGACACAAATACTTTTGCCCTCCCCAGTAAAGCGTGACCTACATGTTACTTTCACTTGCTCCTACTAGTTGCCTTCACAGGGTTAGAGAGAATTCTACCTCAGTGTGAAGCAGCAGGGTAAAACTGACAGTCTGTAAGTCTTTAGTCCCTGACACATGACTAGAGAACTTCTGGGTCATGTTGCTTTACTTGTAAGATTTTCTTTCCATCCTTGACCTGACGCACTTTTCTGCCTGAGTTTATCTGACCCCGTCTGCGACATATGGTTTTTGTTTTACTGATGAGTGCACAAAGTGTTGGCATCACTCCTCAGCGAGTTAATCATTAAAGTGGTAGAGAAATCAGAGGGACAAGTCGTACAATAGATACGTACAAAGATAGTTAACACACAGACAGACAGGAGACTGATAGACTGTAGGCACAAATATGTCATATTTAATGTTTTTTTGTTTTGTTTTGTTCACAGGGGCTCATATTTGTTGTCTAAGAAGCACAGCTCTCTATCCTCTAAAGCTTACCTCCACGTAGACCCTCCCCGTCACCTCTCGTCTCCGATCCCTCCTAGGCTGTCCCGCTACAGCCACGGTCTCCAAGCCCACGTCTTCAGTGTTGACCATAGCTCCGCTCTGCTCGCCCGCTCTCTGCACGGCTCAGGTGTTTGGCTTCAGGATATAAAGCAGGAGGACAACAAGACCTCTCCACCTGCGGCTGAGGATGCTTCTACCGGGACTAAAAAGGACTCTGTGGCGTCAGGATCTCAGCCTCCACTTCAATCAGCTCCCACTCCGGCGTCGGCTGCTGTCGTCCCTCCAGTTCAGGAGAAGGCCATTGTGAAAATATCTCTGTATCAGAGAATTGTGGATGAGTTGAAACATTACTATAATGGCTTCAGGTTACTTGGGATCGACACCAAGATTGCTGGCAGGATGGTGTGGAGACTGCTGCACGGACAATTGCTCACACGCAGGGAGAGGAGAAGGGTAAGGGATTGAGAAGTGTTAATCCAAGTTTATTCTTAAAATGATCCCCTTCCTGTTGATTATGAATAAGATGGGCACCATTAAAACACATAAAATCAGATTCTAAAGAAATAAAACATCTGCTCACAGAACCTGTAATCTGTGCAACATTCGAACAGGACCTAAAAATATCTGAAATGTTTGTAGCATCTAGGCCTGGGACCAAAACAAATTTTGCTGGACGATGTATTGTCCAACAAATTATTGACAAACAATATCGTCTACATTATCGAGACCAAAATATGCATGTAGTACATATATTTAATGTTAATGTATCATAATAATGCAAGAACACCCTTTAAAATGCAACTATTAAACCTTTATTTAACAATTAAATGTCATGAACCAGAACTTCTAAATAAATAAATACAACAAACATACAGTAAAATAAAATAGGACTCACTCTGTTAGAAAATTTTGCACCAAAAATAAAATAGACCTAGTTTTTGTAAAACAATAAACACAATGGTCTATCCGGTGTCAACCAGGGATGTGTATTTTTGAAATTCTGGCGATACGATACATATCACGATACAGGGGAGACAATACGATATATCGCGATATATTGCGATACATTCAGTCAGACGTTACAAGCAATTTTTTTACTGAATTTATTGTAAGAATGTTCAATAAACAGTCCAAACTGATACGTAACATGTTTAACATGAGGTATCTGAACCATGATGGAGGGATTTACATTTCAATGGTGGAAACAAAACCCGTTGCACGCTGCTGCCAACTAGTGGGTGGCGATTGAATTGCACAAAACGAAAAGAAAATACACAAATGTTTGCATGTAAAATCTTTCAAGAATTAGATACACGGCTTTTGAATATCGATGTAATAATCGCAGGAAAAATATCACGATATATTGCCATATCGATATTTTCTTACATCCCTAGTGTCAACAACCAAAACTGCATTTCAATAATGACAATAATAATAATAGAGTTGTACATTTCTTAACCTCGATATAATGAAGCTGGAAAAACTGAGTTCATTTTCATTTATCGTACGATTAATTGATTTATTGATTATCGTCCCAGGCCTAGTAGCATCTGTCAAAAAAAATACACCAAGCATCAAAGCTTAGCCAAGAGGAAGAATCCAGAAGAATGAATCACCAGATTAAGTCACTTCTAAGTTTATCAGCTAATAATAAAACCTCATAAATAGTCTTTGATCCTTTTCTGACACACATTAGGAGCTATTTATAGCCATCTTTAAAGCAAAATGTGTTAAAAATAAAGATTGTCATAATCTATAAATAGTTTTAGCCTCAAAAAAACTTAGAATGACTATCAAATCTAGCCAGATTCTTGAGTTAAGTCAGATATGAACAAGTAGTTCAACATTTTATAAAGAAAGTCCTGAACTGTTTTACTCCATGATCCATCTAAACTCGGAAGAGATGGAGTCAGCAGATCCCATGGCTTCTTTCACCAGGTCCCTCTTAACCAAATCATATCAGAAGTTCAGATTCTTCTTTATGAACTTTCAGTTTTAAAAAAGCTCTTCAACAAGTCGGTACATTTACTCGAACCGACCGCTGAGGCCGTAACCGTGTGGTTGTAGAAGCTGCCAAACAAGGACGTTAAAGTGTCAAACGCAGCTGAGCACTTCTAGATGTTTGAGAAGGTCGTGCTGTGATGCTTTTCGTCTGATAGCAGAAGAAACATGCAACCTCACAGACCGGAGCTGTGCATGTGCCGTGGAAAAAAGATATTGGAGCTATTTTAGTGTGTGTGTGTGTGTGTGTGTGTGTGGGGGGGGGGGGCATGTGTAATGGATCACAGGAGTCCTGGTCTGTGTGAACAGTAATAAAACAGCCACGGTTAGCCTGATCGGTGTCGTTTTCTTCTTGTTCACAGCTAATGAGGACCTGCGCTGACCTCTTCCGCCTGGTGCCCTTCATGGTGTTTGTCATCGTTCCCTTCATGGAGTTCCTTCTTCCTGTCTTTCTCAAACTTTTTCCAGAAATGCTGCCTTCTACCTTTGAGACGGAGACTAAGAAGGCATGTGATTATATACAGACTCAGACAATATGTTACGTATAATAATTATGTAAACAATAAATGAAAGACAACAGCTTCTTAATAAATGCAGTTTTATGAAATGATCAACAAATTATCTAGTTTGTTTGAAAAAACTGACTAGAAAAACAACCAAGAGTTGTTTGCTTAAAAATGTCAAGGTAATCATTTTTTTTATCCCTTTTTCATGCAGGAGGAGAAGCAGAGGAAAGGTCTGGCTGCTAAGCTGGAACTGGCCAAGTTTCTCCAGGAAACCATCGCTGAGATGGCTCGAAGGAATAAAGCAAAGGCTCAGACCGAGGATGAGACCCAGCGCTTCTCTACATACGTTCAACAGGTGAACAAAGGATCATCTCTTACCTGTTAAGACAGAAACATTTAGGACTGGAACTAAAATAATGGAAGAATGGTCCTACAGCTTCAAGGTGTTTGTGTTTTCAGGTCCGGGGCACCGGAGAGCAGCCCACCACCAAGGACATTGTTCGGTTTTCCAAGCTGTTTGAAGATGAGCTGACGCTAGAGCACCTGGAGCGCCCCCAGCTGGTGGCTCTGTGCAAACTGTTGGAGCTTCAGGCCATTGGCACCAACAACCTGCTGCGTTTTCAGCTCAGGATGAAACTCAGAACCATCAGATCGGACGATGAGGTGAGAGGAGCACTAGGGCCGTGACTCGATTAAAAAATTTAATTAATTAGAGGCTTTGTAATTAATTAATCTAAATTAATCGCATTATTAAAGTGTTTCTGTTTTAACTTAAACTTCTGTTTTCAACTTTAAGACACGTTGTTTGTGATTGTTTACAGAGTAGTGAGAACACGGAGTGTGAATGCTGTGAAAACATCATTGTAAAATGCTGCTTTTTATTTTTGATGAAACCGGAGCTCGTGCTCTTATTTTAAAAGGCACACTTGCCTTTCTCAACAACTTCCGGTTAGCTTAACGTGTGCACTCGTTTTTTTTTTCTAACATATGAAAGGAAGCTGATATATGCTGAATACGTTCAGATTAGTATAAGAGACTAACAGCAAGCAAAACGTGTTTTCTCCCCTCCCATTCGGAGCTACAAGCAGGCAAAGTGGTTAGTAGACTTTGTAACCCTTATTTGTGGTTTATGTGTTATATTTATGTAAACATATTGTTTATTCTGTCGGTTTGTAGTTCTACGGTGGTTTATGGTGCAGCATGGTGCTAGCTTTGCTAGTCAATAACGGCACAAATAAAGAACGCCATCTGTAAAAAGAACTGGAGTCCTCGCATGCTTCGATGGGCGGCATACGGAGCGTTCTCCCAGCGGCAGCCAGGTGCCTCTCGTTTGTCTGACTACTTTCATAAACTACTGTTAGGGCACAGAATTATTCTGTCTGGTGCTTTCAGCGCTGCACAGATGTTACGTAAATGTTAAAAATATAGCTTACCCACAACTTTTGTAAAGTTTCCGGTGCCACCGGGCAGCCGCAGCAGAGACGATCACGGAAAAATGTCCGCGACACGAACTCTGTTGTTGTCTGGAAGTTTTTTTTCCAAGTTAAGAAAAGAGGCGGACGTGTTTCCTAAATCCTGCATCAGTCCAAGCAAGGCAACTTCCTTCTGTTTTTATTCCTTTTAGTAGCCATTAGCACTGTGCATTGTTGTGTGCGTCTGTGATATTCGGTCTACAAGGAAATCGTGCAATAAGAAAGGTTCCGCCTTGCTTGAAATGCAAGCTGCGAGTAAATGCGTTAATTTTTGTAATGAGTCATTTTTTTCTAATTAATTAATCGTAATTAACGCGTTCAAGTCCCGGCCCTAATATTTTCATGTTTCTGTGATTCTACTTCCTCTGTGTGTGAAGCAGTCCTCTCACGCCCAGAGCATCAGCGTTTCACTTCCTCTTCGTTTTCTCACAGATGATTGCAGCAGAAGGCGTGGCAGCCATGAGTGTGTCTGAGTTACAGGCAGCGTCTCGCAGTCGTGGGATGAGGTCTCTGGGTCTCACCACAGAGCAGCTACGTCAGCAGCTGCAGCAGGTTAGACTGTTGCTTCTTGTTACTGTGCAGATTAAACATCAGTTAAGATAAAAAACCAACGCTTTGGTCCATTCAGTGGCTGGATCTGCACCTGAAAGAGAACGTTCCTCCATCTCTGCTGCTGCTCTCCAGAGCCATGTACCTGACGGACCTCAAACCCAAAACTCCCGTCATCCCTCCTGTTCCTAAACTAGAGGTTTGTCCACCTAGTTTCTGAGCCTTTCCATTGCTGTTTCATGTTTTTATTCTAAAGTTGACAACCACAGTAAAGTTTTAGTATCGTAAATGATGTCACCTTTTACTGTTGTGCTTGCAGAAGACTGCTCCTCCTCCAGTGGAGAGCTCAGGAGCGACCACTGCCTCTGTCAGCTCCGAGAGGTTGTCGGACCCTGCTGTCATCGTCAAAGACAGGCCTGTCAGTGTGTGTCCAAAACAAAACAATAAAAATGTTTATGAACGTTTGAATGGTGGCAGAACCAGGTCCAGGTGGGCTTGTCATGATCTGATCTTTGCCTCTGTTCCTGCTAGGTGGAGGAGATGAGGGATGAAGCTCCTGTAGTGGCGGACAAACCTCTGACTCCTGCTGAGGTTCTTCAGGTGAGAACACGCACAGAAACCAAGCTGGTGTTTGATCCTCGCTGGGCTTTAATCCGGTTACGTCTTCGTGCTTTGATGCTTTATGTGCTAATCCGTCAGAGTAGGAAAAATCTGCTCATGTAGAAAGATACAGTTTGAATTTAGAGGAAGAGAAGTTTTCAGATTTAAAATGTTTAAATTTTCATGTACATATTATTTAAAACTCTCTTTTGTGATGTTTTTTGTTAACGTAAAGCAAAGTAATCCTGACTTCATCTTTTACATTTAAAATATAAAACCTTTAATCAACCAGACACATCTGAAGCTGATTGACCCTGACCTGAAAGCATCATTCACCTAGAAACCTACCCACAATGCAACACTCTCACGGTTGTTTTGTACTAAAACAGCAGAATAAACAGATGATGGTGTTAATATTAGATCTGGGATCTGATCCACAGGCTAAAGCAGCAACAGAGGTGAGCCAGAAGAGCAAGATGAGCGCCAACGGCGTTTAGGAGGAAGTCACACAAAGAAGGGGGGGGGGGGGGGTCCCACATGGCTGTGTTTCTCCCCAAAAGCTTCGTAGACCCTTTTACCTGTTCATACCAGCATCATAGATCTGTTTCTCCTTGTTAACGCTTGTTTCTATGTTCTCCAACCTTCATCCGCTCCGTTCTCATCATCATCTTCCCCAGAATTTCCCCGGACTGTTTACACACGGTGGGAATTATTATTATTGACTCGACTCGAGGAGCTGTCTGCAGGTCCGGGTCCTGATATCTGCTCCCTTACAGCCCACATCTCCTATTCCTCCATCTCCAGCTGTAAATTTGTAAATATTATGTATATGTTGTCTCCTGCACCACAGAAGCAGCAGCCTTGTACAGTTTGCTACGCAGAAACCACAAATTTCCTCTTACTGGTTTCATTTAATTTGCAGATTTTTTTTTTCTCTAAAAGATTTTCAGAATAATTTAGCTGAACGTTGCGTTTCAGCTGCCGCTGCCCCACCTTCAGTGTATTTAAAACGCTTGACACCCAAGAAGATGTTACACAATCTGTTATTAAAGCAAAGACTGGTACATAATAAAGAGGTTTGCTCTTTAAAGATGGAGGTGACGTGTTTAAATGTGGTTTGCCTTGTTTGAGGAGCCGCTGAAAGGGCAATCTGTACAGAAATGCAGACTTTATATGCATATACCGTGTATGTGTTGTGTTGGGACGATGGGATGTAAAATATCCAAGATGTCAAACATAAAGTTACAAATTATTATATAGGGGGGAGGGAAAGTCCTGAATCCACAGATGAATTATAAACTTTTATTTTTTACATTTGCCCACATGTGTGTCGGAAAGCTCCAGATATATAAACCCATCAGTTATTAATGTAACACTTGCATGTGTTTGAAAGTGCTTTAAACATTTGTGGCCCTCAAATGATCCTGCAGACTGATATTTATGAAGTTTCCCCCCTTAATGCTGTTTGTTCATAGAAAACTACAAGACATTTTCAAACCTGCTAGTAAAGATTCCTATTTTTGGTTTTCCACATGTGCCTAAAAGGATGATTATTGGCCCAGTTGCATCTTTTCCCCCATTTGAATAAAATTAATCCTTAACGGGCTTTGTGATCATCACAATTCCCAACTTCCAGAAAAACTTTAAAGAGCAAGTCACCCCCAAATCAGCTTTTTTCCGTGACAAACTATAAATGAGTGTCCAATCATGCTGCAGACAGGTGTGGTCAATAGTTTTGCACTTTGGTGCATTTTTGTTAAATTTAAAATTTTCTGCCTAAAACTGTCAGTGTTGTGCCGTCTTCAGGTAAAAACTCTGCACTGCAGTTGAATTTAAATCTGCCATCGCTATTGGCTAAGAGGTACCCTAGAATGTTAGCTGGTACCATATGATGTCACAATGTCGTTGCGAGCTTGTGTGTGTGTGTATTTGTTAGCGGCTCCGCCCTCTCGGTCTGCTAGGCAACAGCATTTGTTGCATTTTTCAAGCAGGAAGTGGGAGAGAAGTAATACTCTGGTAGGGGGTGACTTCCTCTTTAAGCTAAACGCTGAGCAGCTTTTTGTTTTCTGTTACCATATTTAAACAATAATCTAGTATTTCTCATATTTTTAGATGAGTGGGTGGTTTTTAAGTTGCCCTTTAAATCAAAGTTAAGAAATAGTTTATATTTTCAATCTTTATAAATGAAAGATTATTTCAATATTACAGGAAAACGTAACCAGGATGCAACAAGCTCACAGAGTACAGCTAAGAGCCACCAAAGATTTGCAAACATAGGGTCAGCAGGTGAGGCTTTGAAAGGTGTCATGTGACATACGTCCTCAACTTAATTTTCATAAAAGTCGTTGTTTTGTCATCTCATGGAACCGTATCAACGACACTTTACTGTCTGAAAACTGCTGATTTATTGTCTATGGCTCAGAAATTGGCTACTAGCTATGTTTTATCCTGCATTTAATTCATGCGTCATCAGGATAAATAAACAAGGGATTGATAAGAAACAAATTCACACAATTAAAGTCTTCAAAACCCTTTATGGCTGTTCACTGTTTCCTTATTTTATTTTACAAAGTCTTTAAATTAGGAACTTACTGACCCACAATGGTCACAAATAATTTGAAACTCATGTTTAGTTCAATGATTTTAAATCCCTTTAGGTATTTATTTTTGTCAGGTTTCATTAGATTTATTGTATTTTTCTGGCCAGCAGAGGGCGATATTTGTCAACATCCTAAATATTTTCCAGTTTATAACTTAAAGCTTTGGTGTTTTCCTTATTTATGTAAGACAGCTAAATGGGTTCATAATCTATAGCATTTGCATATTTTCACATGAAACGTATATGTGTTTTTGCACACATGGGAAAACATCTCATATGGTCAAGTGAAAAGAAACTTTAGTCTTCAAAGGGCAGATTTTGTCTGAATTTTGTGAAGCCAACCAAGAAGTGACGCAGATCCTCATGGGTCCGCTCTTGGCTCCACCTCTTTGCCCATTTTTGGACTGTCAAGACGTGTGACATGGCCAAGATGGTCAGAACCGCCCACTTCAAATAAGAACGTCAGAAAATTCTGGGTGACGTCACGGAGGGTTTGTTCAGTATTTTAACACCTATGGTCTTCACACGTGTAAAACGTTTTCTTTCACGTGTGTGAGAGGTTTTCAGATACGTTATAGGCATAGGTTTACTCACGCGTGTGCAAAAGATTCACTCAAGGGTGTACGAGAGGTTTTGTTTTCACATGTGTATAAAGTTTTTTTTACATGTATGTAATATAGGTATTTTAGAATAATGTCCATGAGGCAGCGTGTGTGTGTGTGATTTTATTTGAGATTTGGAGGGCTGAGCTGGGGGGTGTCTGAAATCAGAGTAGAGTAGGGGGGTGGGTGGGAGGGTGGTGGTCACAGCTGTGATGGTAACAGACTCAAAGGGTGAGTACGCTGCAGTGTTTATGAGTGTTGATTTAAAAATATAGATCTGGAGAATGAATTTGCACATTCTCTCAGAAGTATGCATGTTTATGTTTTGTTTGACTAAAAAAAATTTAAAATCAGTATTGCTGAGAGCATTTAAAGAAATTGTTGCTGTGTAAATAAGCAGAAGTGAAGGGTTAAAGTGTGACTGCCTGGTCTAAGTTTAAACGACTGAACGGTCACCAGCCTGCCAGCTTCATGCTGGTGACAGATGGGCTGTGTGTGCTGCAAATGCATGTGAAGACTTCAGCGTACTTTTTCCACACATATTTGTTATTCTGCTATTTTAACCACAAAACTTGCAAACTGCTTTTCAGTCTGAAAACATAAACTGGCCAACTTAACTCACCCTTTTGTTCTGTAGCTCATTACAGACCTAAAATATGCCACTAACATTCTATGTAGACATGAATATAAAATGCATGAAACCAAGAAATAAAAACAGTTATGTAAAATCTAGTAAAAATAGTTTACACTGAGTTAAAAGCGAGATCATAAAAGTAAGTCTTGAAGAAGACTGCCTAATAAATAAAGTAAATTTGTTCCATAGAATTTGACCTGCCACTGAGAAAGCCCTTTCTCAAGTAGGTGGCAATCATCATAGAAAGCAATGCCATACTTCTGCAGGATATCACCCAATGGAAGAATATAAACAGAAAAAAAAAACAGAGGTCCCAGTATCAAACCTTGGGGGACACCCCATGGTAAATGGGATAAAACAGAAGAAAAAACACCCATCCTCACACATACCATCTTGTCAGAAAGATAAGACCTGAACTAACTCAAGGCCAGGCCAGAAATTCCAACCTACCGTAATTTCTGGACTATAAGCCGCTACTTTTTTCCCACGCTTTGAACCATGCGGCTTATAATGAGGTGCGGCTTTACTGAAGATTTTCCTTCACCTGCCACCAGGGGGCGCTTTAGCAGAAAGTGAAACAGGAAGTCAAAAGTGGAAATCGAAGAAAGTGCTCATTTTAATTTAGCACATGCAAGCAGCCGGCACAACGAAGATTTTTTTCAAATCCATACCCCCTCATCATGGTAACTACACGTATGAGTTCATATGATGCCGCATTTAAGTTGAAGGCCATCGATCTGGCGGTAAAGGAGGGAAACAGCGCTGCCGCGCGTAAGCTTGGCATGAATGAATCCATGGTTCGGCGCTGGAGATGGCAGCGGGAAGAACTCATTCAAGCCAGCTTCACCCGGGGATGATGACAGCAACACGGACAGCGACACCGACATCACCACAGAAAAGGTATGTGACGAAGCTCTTCTGAGGCTGTTCAACTCCGACACTGAAGAAGAGGACTTTAATGGCTTTAGGGTGCAAGAGGAAGATGAGAGCGAATGACTTCTTCTGGTAGGCAAGTGTGTTTAATTTACTAACCAGGCATGTTTTGTGTGCAGTTGTTATTTTCTAATCATCCAGGGCTTATTAATGCTGTGTCAGCGCTGTTCTTTTCTTCTTAACATGCAAATTACCGGTAATAACGTGTCAGTGCTGTTTTTATTTTATAACATCCAGAAATATGAATGCTATCAGTGCGGTTTTCTTTTCTACACTTGCAGGCACGTTCACCCGTGTTTAAAATCTGTTTTGTTGAATTAAAACAACAACAAAAAACCTCAGTGTAGCGTCTTTCTGTCTAATTATCTAATGTTATGGCCGAACATGCGCTGTGCGCCGGAGACCTGCATGTGGCTGCTGCGCCGCGGCTTGTATTCGAGTGCGGCGTGTGTGTAGAAAACCTTTTTTTTTTTGTTGGTGCGGCTTATATTGAGGTGCGCTTTATAGTCCGGAAATTACGGTAGTTACCCAAGCTTCTTTAGGAGTGAGTGAATAACCTTTTTTTGATTTTTAATCATTGGGCACAACACCAGAAACCAGACTGGTGTTGATTGTGTGCAGAATTAGCAAATTCAACTGCTAAAAAAAACAACAACAAAAAAATATGCGGAGGCTAAATAACATCCGGAGAGCCACTGGGTTTATCATCATCCAACAGCTTGGCTAAATCAGCTAGACAAATAGTCTGAAAAGAAAGCAGCCTTGCACCGACACAGAGGGACTCTCTAGGTAAAGCCAATCACTGCAGATGTTTACATGTCCCATAAACACAATCACATTTGGTTCTTTAAGCTAACAAGAATAAAACATGCAATACAAGGTTTTGCTAAATAACATCAGCTGGTGAACATGTATTTTCCCTTTTAAATGATTTATTCTGTCCTTGGCTTTTTTATCAGTGTTATATGTTTAAAATCAGCAACTAAATTTCAACATCAGACCAATTCTAATTCAAGATCTGTACTCATTATACATTTGTACATGAATGCACTCTCTTGCTAATTTTATTTTTGTTTCTGTGGCATCTTCCTGCAGAAGAAAGATGAAGTTCACTGTGGCGACCATCTTGTGTTTATCCGTTCTTTTCGTTCACTTCAATCTCTCACTGGCAACCAAGAAAGGAAAGGGAGGCATTCTGAGTGTTTTAAAAAAGCCCTTCAAATCGAAAACAGATGTAAATACAAAGTCTAAAGATACAGGCATGAAAAAGGAAAAAGGAGGTTACTCTCAGCAGCCAGCAGGAGGGTACCCTCAGTACCCAGGCCACCCAGTGGGTTACCCCCAGCAGCCAGCAGGAGGGCAGTACCCAGGCCACCCAGTGGGTTACCCCCAGCAGCCAGGAAGGTACCCTCAGTACCCCAGCCGACCCGGAGGTTACCCTAGTTATGGAAGCTATCCTCAGTACCCAAGTTTCCCAGCTGGTGGTTACCCATCATATGCAGGAGGCTATGGAAACTACCCAGGTAGTTACATAAACCATAACCCAAACAACAAAATCTTGAGCCCTCACTATGGCGGCAGCTATGGATATGGAGGTTATGGAGGAGGCGGTGGTTCTCCCTTCTCCCACTCAGTTCAGCAAATGGGATATGCACCATCTTCCAAATCCAAAGGGTTTGGGCGCAGTGCAGCAATGGCTGCAGCTGGAGGGGCTATAGCAGGAATGGCTCTAGGCTACGGGATGGGAAGGTTCCCTCATCCACATTTCCATTTCCACAGCCCCCAGGAGGAGTACTACTACAACTACTACATGTACAGGAGGTATGGCATGAAGTCCACTGACAAGAACGACTACAGCAGGGACTACAAATATGGTGAACTACCTGAGAACTTTGACAGGTTCATGGAATCCTGCATGAGGAGAACCGATCTTCTTCCAGAGGAGAATCGAAATACGAACAAGCAAGAACTCACCAAAACTAAAGCCACAACGACTGCTTCTGTAATCGCAACAACAACAAGCAACAATACAATAAACAACACCAAAGCAGGAGACCTCACAACTATTTCACCTTCCCAACCCCTGAACAAACCTGAGATCAATGCTTCAACTCCTAATGAAGATGACACAGTCAGCATTGTGGAAATTGGCTACCCAGCACTGATCAAACAGATGAAGGTGAGGAGATGTACAGAGCTTTTCATAGTTTACTCCGAAAGGCACTTGAAGAAAAAGACCCAGCCGACAGCCAGCAGTGGAGTGCAGGGACTGCAGATGAGCTTCCACGGGCTTTTATCTGTGCTCAGCACCACCACACTGATGCTAGTGAATAAAAACGTACTAATGCTGCACAACTAAAGCCAAGAATCTCTTTGATCAGAGTCAAAAAAATAAACAACTAGAAGATCCTCTAAAGTTGGAATTCCAACTTGGAAAAATAAATGTTTCTCACCAGCCCACAACTCAAAATTCAATATGTTTATGTTTATGTGTTTAGCAGATGCTTTTGTCCAAAGCGACTTACAAGTGATAATCGGCATGTTGCCCTTGAGGCTAACAACAACAATAACAACAACTTGACATCAGTCATGGAGAGGAGGGAAAAAGGAGTGGACAGTAGAGAGGGGGGACGGGTGCAGGGAGGGTGCTAGTTAAGAAGATGCTCTCTGAAGAGCAGGGTCTTCAGGAGTTTCTTGAAAATTGAAAAGGAAGCCGCTGTTCTGGTAGTGCTTGGAAGGTCATTCCACATTTGTGGAACGATGCATGAGAAGAGTCTGGATTGTCCTGATAGAGCGGTCCAACATGGCCGACGTGTGCAACACATTCTAACTCCCAGCGCGTCAAAAACAAACGCTTGGTCAGCCACCCTCCGCCTCAGACCCCTGACGTAAGGGTTTTCCCCTTTTCTGACTGCAGATCCCAATGCAGCGTAAAACTGACGTGATTAGATGTCCGTTGATGCGGCACCAAACCAGCTCATTTAACCGCACCTAAACCTTAACGTTTCACTATTTATAACCTTCCCCTCACCCTCACCCTAACCTTAACCCTCTTGCTACCTAAAACGTTACTCTCACTGTGATCAAGCGTTTGCTTCCCATGCATTCTGACTGTGAATTTTCGTATTTGCCGCCCGAGGGGAACGTTAGAACGTACCATCTGGCGAGGGGGAGGCTACAAATACCCTCTGCTTTTAACCTCCACCTTGGTAGTTGATACCTCCCCCTCGCGTTGGCTCGGTCCAAACCCGACCAATGATGAGGCAGCTCCTGCCGTTCACTTCATAGAGCCGGCTTTTAGAGCGACCGACGCGACGCATCACTAACATGTTCGCTAGCAAGATGGTTAATGTTAGGATAGGGGTGAGGTCAAGGTTAAATAAGAGGATAAGGTTAGGGTGAGGTACAATGAGCTTGTTTGGTGCCCTGGCTGCGGACATCCCATCGCGTCAGTGTAACGCTGCATTGGGATCTGCCGTCAGAAAAGGGAAAAAGCCCTTTTCGCACATAAGTAACGAAAAAGGGCACTTTTGGCGTCAGGGGTCTGAGGCGGAGGGTGGCTGACCAAGCGTTTGTTTTTGCTGCGCTGGGAGTGAGAATGTGTTGGTATAACATGGTTAGAGCTGCTATGAGAAATGGTCTATTTGCACTTCTGATTATTTCTATTTCATTAAATCTGTCACACATGCTGTGCCGAGTTTAAACTACGCTTACTAAAAGTTTTGTTTGGCCTGAGATGAACTTGACGCTAAATTAAAACCCTAACCACGATAAACATAAACACATCAGACTACTGGCGTTATCATGTAGCTAAAACGGCTAAATTAGCATTCCGCTACTTAGTTTGAAGGAGGCAGAAAAGCAGCTGTGGGCCTGGACGTTCGACCAGTTTGCACTTTGGTGCCGTTTCTGGCTCTGTTATGGTTACAAGGTGTAAATAAACAGGGCTGCATGAAATTTTGGATATTTAATTACATCGACAGCATCGCTGCTGTAGGTTAAAGTGACGGTGTGTATTTTCTTTGGCGATAGGGGGCAGTACTTACCTAAGTAATTGCAAGCAAGCGGTATTTTTGTGTTTGAGTAAGACCTTATCAACGGATGGCCATTAGGATCGAAAATTCCTGAGTGCAATTTTCGAACAAGTACTTCGTCAGATTGTTCAACCGCAAGCAGAATGACAACCACATCAGACTCTTTCATCACCGACAATGGACAGGGAGATAAATGTGTAAAACAACATTTATGAATGGCAAAAGTTTTGTAACCACTTCTTACAAGTCAGTAAATGTGTTTCATCCTCACGGGCTCACGTAGAAGGAAACATGGCATCACCCAGAGACTTAGACACGCTCCCATGTAATTTAGACCTAATTGTTATGGTTATACGTTACAAAGCCGCCAATACTTTTAACAGCCGGGCATCATTTAATTCTTTTTCCAGAGGTTAATGGTAAAAACTACACATCGTCTCTTCAAGACAAGAAAACCACAAATAGAAAGTTTAATAATTGTATAGCAATAATATTTTATGCATCACTTGTTAAAGAAAGAACGAGATCGCGGATACAAGCGGCCGAAATGAGTTTCCTCCGTAGGGTGGCCGGGCTCAGCCTTAGAGATAGGGTGAGGAGCTCGGACATTCGGGAGGGACTCGGAGTAGAACCGCTGCTCCTCCGGATCGAAAGGAGTCAGTTGAGGTGGTTTGGGCATCTGGTCAGGATGTCTCCTGGACGCCTCCCTGGGGAGGTGTTTCGGGCAGGTCCTGCCGGCAGGAGGCTCCCGGGTCGACCCAGGACACGTTGGAGAGGTTACATCTCCAATCTGGTCCGGGAACTCCTTGGGGTCCTGCCGGAGGAGCTGGTGGAGGTGGCCGGGGAGAGGACGGTCTGGAGCTCCCTAGTTGGGATGCTGCCCCCGCGACCCGGACCCGGATAAGTGGAGGAAGACGACGACGACGACTTGTTAAACATATCATTAAACAGATACCCGCTGCAAAGTTAATTAAATTAAAATATTCTGTTCAAAACTGATTTATTCATCAACTTCACTGACTTTTTTTAAAATTTAGTCAAGACTAACTAAAATCATGCCAGTCTCCTCTGACACCCATATGTTTGGCTTTAGGTCCAAATTCATGCATTGGTTTTGTGCTTATAAATTGTATTTTCCTTTTCCTGAAAAGCTCTTCATGTAAAGTACCCCTGAAATATGAATAACTGTTCATGCAGAAATCTAAAACCTAATTTTATTGTTGGTGTTTTTCCATGTATAGAGTCACCATAGTATTAACCATAACATAAAATCAATAAAACATTAGGTACTTTCTGTTTGTTTTTGTTTCTAAAATCACTTTAATACAGAGATGGAAAAATATAAATAAAATGACTCTTTTGTAAACAAAATATGTTATTCTTATCTGTAAAAAAATAAAAAGTAGCCCCAGTGTTGTAACCACGTCTGGATTCAACAGTTGAGAGGTTTTGTCTGATTGTATGTGTGAAAAAGACCTGCAGTTGTCTGCATCCATCGTGATTAAGGATTCATTAATGCACCACGATCCACTGAGAAAAGCTTCTAAAAGCTCTCCTAACCACTCATTTCTCTTAGAGCTCATTAAACCTTTTTCTCTTCTGGATCACGGGGCAGCCAGAGGATCACTAAGAGCTTTTATTCCAGTGCTGAGACCTACGTTACGCTTTGGCCGCCACAGGAAGGTGCAATCTGAGACCGATCAACAGTGAGGCTAGAGCCATTTGTTTAAATAAAGAATCAAAAGTAAACGTTCAGTTTTCATGTATCGTGTTTTTTTTTGTAAAATTAGGTTCAGATGTTCTTTAAATTTTGCACTGAACACACATTTAACAACACCTTTAATCTTTATGCGGCTTAATAGCTGAAAATAAAGATAATAAACCATCTGACAGGTGGACGACTCTTTGAAAAAGCTGACATAAGTTTTTAACTGTGATTGAAAGAAGGCTCATTTTTTTGTGCTTGCATGTACATTTAAATGTATGTGTCTAAAGTTAGTCAACTCAAAATTTAACATTTGGTATTTTGATTTAAACTTATATTTAAGGCTTTATTTCATAATTGTAAACACAGCTCATAATCAGGCATTCGTTCAGAATTAGAACTTAGTTATAACTATGCCCTTCCACATCATAATATACTGCCCAACCAAACTAAAAAGTCACACTTTCTAATATTAAGTTTGGCCGCCCTATGGCACGTGTTCGCTGTGGCGTTGTTTCGATATTTATATATATACATATACATACATATATATATATATATAATATATTTACATATATACATATATATGTATATATTATATATACATATATATATATATATATATATATATATATATATATATATATATATATATATATGCCCTTCTTTAAAAAGTAGCATATTGTGATAAAGTTCATTATTGTCTGTAATGTACTGATAAACATTAGACTTTCATATATATTAGTTTCATTACACACAACTGAAGTGGTTAAAGTCTTTTATTGTTTCTAATATTGATGATTTTGGCATACAGCTCATGAAAACCCAAAATTCCTATCTCAAAAAATTTGCATATCATGAAAAGGTTCTCTAAACGAGCTATTAACCTAATCATCTGAATCAACTAATTAACTCTAAACACCTGCAAAAGATTCCTGAGGCTTTTAAAACTCCCAGCCTGGTTCATTACTCAAAACCGCAATCATGGGTAAGACTGCCGACCTGACTGCTGTCCAGAAGGCCATCATTGACACCCTCAAGCAAGGAAATTTCTGAACGAATAGGCTGTTCCCAGAGTGCTGTATCAAGGCACCTCAGTGGGAGGTCTGTGGGAAGGAATTAGTGTGGCAGAAAATGCTGCACAACGAGAAGAGGTGACCGGACCCTGAGGAAAATTGTGGAGAAGGACCGATTCCAGACCTTGGGGGACCTGCGGAAGCAGTGGACTGAGTCTGGAGTAGAAACATCCAGAGCCAGCGTGTACAGGCGTGTGCAGGAAATGGGCTACAGGTGCCGCATTCCCCAGGTCAAGCCACTTTTGAACCAGAAACAGCGGCTGCTGGTGTTGGTCCACTGTGTTTTATCAAGGGCAGGGTCAATGCAGCAAGCTATCAGGAGATTTTGGAGCACTTCATGCTTCCATCTGCTGAAAAGCTTTATGGAGATGAAGATTTCATTTTTCAGCACGACCTGGCACCTGCTCACAGTGCCAAAACCACCGGTAAATGGTTTAAAATGGTAAATGGCCTGTATTTGATATAGTGCCCTCTAGAGTCCTCCCCCCCCCCCCCCCCCCCCCCAGACGCTTTACAACACAATCAGTCATTCACCCATTCACATACATTTACACACTGGTGGGGGTCCAAACTACCTACATATGACACAACATGAAATTCCAGTGCAACAAAATGAAGTACAGAAAAAGGTGAAAATTCTGTGTTCTGTTTGGCCTTGGCCCCCAAAATGCCTTGAAACAGCCCTGGGTGTGTGAGTTTTGAAGGTGACCTGAATTGTATCAGATGTATAAATATGATGTGTATAACTTGTTGCTTTAAAACGTGTAGTGGAGATAAATCTACCTACATTTTACTTTTCAAATATTTTTCTTTGTTTTCTTGTTTTAATGTGTTTATTTTCCTGTCCTGTCTGTCTCTCATCTTCCTGCATCTCCTCTAAACCCTCCCAGAAAAACTGCCTCGATTCTTACTTTTTCACCTCATCAGTTACTTCAAAGGGATCTCCTGACCGCAAAGCGGAGTGCGCATTGCGATGCTGCGTCAGTGAGGTGAAATCACCGCAGCAGACCATGAGCAAGCGCGTCAGGCACGATTAAAAGACGGAGTACCAGAAAGGATATAAACGGACAAGAACGATCGTGTGTTAATGATAGCTTTTTTTTTTTGGTTGCGCCACTTTTAGCATGTACCACGCGCAGAATGCAGCTGCCTGGAGCGCACCTACGATCAGCGCTCTCTGCTCAAAGAATGCCCGGTAGCTGAGAGTCCTTATTATAAAAGACGTGGAAACCTTTCCCCGGCTCTCCCTGGATGTGCAGGACATCCAGCTGCTCCCCCATAATTTGATCCCTGCTCCTGGATGAAAAACCGGACATTTTCATCAAACTTGTAGCTGTGGTCTTGGTTTTTATTAAGTAGGCGACCTATTTGATGGAGATGTGCTGCCTTAAAACAAGTGTTAACATGAGATTAATATCTCCGTGTTGCAGATTCTGTTACAGTATTGTGAAAAATATGATGTGAATCTCTTTGACAGCATGACTTTCCAACATAAGCGTGCCTGCTTGCAAAGAATCATATCCATTAAATCTCTAAATCCGAGCTTTCTGTCATCCACTGGCTTTTCTAGTTTCTAAATAATGTCTAAACTTTTCTTACAATTTAAAATTATTTTCAGTTTTTGGGTTATTGTTTATATAAAAAAAAAATTTCTTACACGCTTTCTTGAACCGTCACCTTATCGTGCTGGAGGGGTTTGAGTGCGCTAATGATCCTAGGAGCTATGTTGTCTGGGGCACTTTGTGCCCCTGGTAGGGTCTCCCATGACAAATGGGTCTTAGGTGAAGGGTGAGACAAAGAACGGTTCAGAGGATCTTTCATGGACGTAAATTCAAAGAGTCGGAGTACCCGGCCCGGAGGGTTACCGGGGTCCCACCCTGGAGCCAGGCCTGGGGTTGGGGCCCGTGAGCGAGCGCCTGGTGGCCGGGCTTTCGCCCATGGGGCCCGGCCGGGCCCAGCCCGAACCGGATACATGGGCTCATCCAACTGTGGACCCACCACCTGCAGGAGGAACATGAAGGGTCCAGTGCAGTGTGGATCGGGTGGCAGACCGAGGCGGGAGCCTTGGCAGTCCGATTCCCAAACAAGGAAACTGGTTTTTGGGAAATGGAACGTCACCTCGCTGGCGGGGAAGGAGCAGGAGCTTGTGGCAGAGGTTGAGCGGTACCGGCTAGATATAGTCGGACTCACCTCGACACATAGCATTGGCTCTGGAACCCAAGTCCTTGAGAGGGGTTAGACACTCTACTTTGCTGGAGTTGCCCCGGGTGAGAGGCGGAGGGCTGGGGTTGGCTTATTGTTAGCCCCAAGACTCTCTGCAAGTGTGTTGGGGTTTACCCCAGGGGACGAGGGGGTAGCTTCCTTGCGCCTTTGGGCGGGGAACGGGTCCTGACTGTTGTTTGTGCTTATGGGCCAAATATCAGTTCAGAGTACCCACCCTTTTTGGAGTCCCTGGGACGAATGCTGGATAGTGCTCCATCAGGGGAGTCCATTGTCCTGCTGGGGGACTTCAATGCTCATGTGGGCAATGGCAGCATGACCTGGAGGGGTGTGACTGGGAGGAACGGCCCGCCTGATCTGAACTCAAGTGGTGTTTCGTTATTGGACTTGTGTGCAAGCCGTAGTTTGGCCATAACGAACACCATGTTCGAACATAAGGATGCCCATCAGTACACTTGGTACCAGGGCAGCCTAGGTCGCAGGTCGATGATAGACTTCGTAGTCGTATCATCTGACCTGCGGCCGTATGTTTTGGACACCCGAGTGAAGAAAGGAGCGGAGCTGTCAACTGATCACCACCTGGTGGTGAGTTGGATCAGATGGCAGGGGAAGATGCCGCGTAGACCTGGCAGACCCAAACGCATAGTGAGGGTCTGCTGGGAACGCCTGGCAGAAGAACCTGTCAAGACAGTCTTCAACTCCCACCTCCGGCAGAGCTTTGACCGCGTCCCGAGAGCAGTGGGGGACATTGACTCTGAATGGGCCTTGTTCCACTCTGCGATTGTTGAGGCGGCTGTTGCTAGCTGTGGTCGCAAGGTGTGGCGTGGGAGGAGTTTGGTGAGGCCATGGAGAAAGACCATCGATCGGCTCCAAAGAGGTTCGGGCAAACTGTACGGCGCCTCAGGAGAGGAAGGCAGCAACTCGCTCACACTGTTTACAGTGGGGATGGGGAGCTGCTGACGTCAACTGGGGCTATAGTCGGACGGTGGAAGGAATACTTTGAGGAGCTCCTCAATCCCACCTACGTGCATTCCGACGAGGAACCAGAGTCGGGAGACCTGGGGATGGACTGTCCAATCTCGGGGGCAGAAGTTGCTGAGGTAGTCAAACAACTACACAGCGGCAGAGCCCCGGGGGCGGATGAGATTCGTCCTGGGTATCTCAAGTCTATGGATGTTGTAGGGCTGTCGTGGTTGACACGTCTCTGCAACATTGCGTGGTCATCGGGGGCAGTTCCTGTGGAGTGGCAGACCGGGGTGGTGGTCCCCATCTTTAAGAAGGGTGACCTGAGGCTGTGTTCCAACTATAGGGGGATCACACTCCTCAGCCTCCCTGGAAAGGTCTACTCCAAGGTACTGGAGAGGAGGGTCCAATCGATAGTTGAATCTCAGATAGAGGAAGAGCAATGTGGTTTTCGTCTTGGTTAGAATAGAGACGAAGCAAATCAGCTGAACTGAAGAGGCTTTTTAAAAAAAAAGTTTTATTAATCAGTGTATGAAAACAGAGCTAATACCTTTTATTTTGCTTTTTTTTTTAACCATACATAGAAACATGTTGCTTAGCATTTAAAACATCAATTTGTGGATGACCACTGAAGTCACTTTAAGAAAAAATATTACCAGTTATGGAAAACAAAATCGTGTTATTTCTAATACTGAAAATAATCTCATAATATTCATTTAAATGTCATGTCCTATTTATGTCCTTGTATCTAAATATTAATAAATCATGCCATACAATTAACATTTTTTATTAACATCACACAAATAAACAGAAGTAAATGCGTTTCTATATATAAATCTCCAGAAGAAACAAAACATGTCAAAAAATTTAGCTCTCAAAAATTTACAATAAACAGCTGAGTCCAAAATACTTACTGGTATCATAGTGCATGTTAAAAAATGTGATACCAATAATTAATATATGTAGAGTAAGCAATTGTACACTTTAAATATTTGTAATTTGCACATAATAATTAATGGCACTACAATAAGAGTGTAGCTGCTTAAGACCCTAATCCTGAGGTAGACTCAATCAGAATAGTAATCTAGCTTTTATTAGAGAAAGAGCTTCTATTGTGACATTCCTAGATCTATCTGTATTAGTGATATCATCACTGCCATATCATTAAAGTACAAAAACGTGGCCTCAGAAAGGGAAAAACAAGAGAAGGACATAGTGCAAATAGTTGTTTACAACATCAAATCTGTCAAATGACTTTGTGAAGTAGAACTTTTCATTTCTGAAGCATAAATCTCACCGATGCCGTTGCTTTTTCACGTTTTCTTTACAGTTCAGTGAAGAATCGCAGAGATGAATCAGACTTTAGGTCAGGTGTGACTTTAAAATGGTCCTCCTCTGTGCCAGGTTATGGGTTGTTCTCTGACAGGTTTCGGATTTATTTTTGGGATTTCAGTTCTACACGAGTGCCACCCAGTGGCCCATCAGGTGGGACACCACAAACCCAATGACTACAATGATACTGTTGTAGATGGGACCGCTGGATGCTCCGGTGTAGTACTCCATGTCTCCAGAGCCTTCAGGCTCATAGGCAGGCCTTGGGCCATAGCCACCTCCATATCGAGGGGGACCATACCCTGGTCCATATCCACCATATCCCCCATACCCTCCGTATCCTCCATATCCTCCGTACCCATACCCATACCCCGGGCGGCTCAGCGCAGACCCGATCATCGCTCCTCCTATTGCTCCTGCAGCTGCAGCTCCAGCCACCTTCCCTGCACTTGGACCTCTGTTCTGGACAGGTACCTGGACGGGTGCGGGTTTGTAGGACTGACCACCCCACCCACGGCTGTATCCACCACCACCACCTCGACCAAAACCACCGCCGCCACCTCCACGGCCACGGCGGGCATCAGAGCTGGGTAGCAAGGTGCACAGAAGGAGCAAACAGAGAGCTGCTGTGGTGGGAGACTTCTGGAGGCCCAACATGATGTTTTCAACCTGAGAAAAAAGAAATTAGAAAAGATAATTACAAAGGATTCAGGTGCATAGTGCTGGTCCTCGAGATTACTGTTCAGTGTTTTAGTTGTTTCGTTGCTCCAACACTCATGATTGTAATTACTAATGAATACCTGGCTTTTCAAGAGCTGGGTGTCCTGGTGAACAGGGGATTCAACCATTGAATCAGGTGTACTGGAGCAGGGAAACAATTAAAACATACAGGATGGGGAGATTTCAAGGGCCAGGGTTGGTCGGAGAGCCCTGGTCTACAAAATAAAAACATTTTACAAATCTTCTTGAATAGAAATTCAAAATAAAAAATTCCCCACAATTAATTGGTTACGTTTAGTACGAACACCTTTTTGATGCTCGAACACGCCGCCCCGTAACCGCTGGTTCTTTTAGGTGGATAGGCCTTACACAAACAGATTAACAGTACGGGGTCGGAGCAGCTTCGGACCGTCTGTCTGGTATTTTTACATTAGCGTTATGTTAGGAACAGTAAAGAGAGCTTAATCCAGCTTTAAAAAAACAACATCTTACATAAGCAACAAGGCACAATACAGCTGACACGGGATCAGATAGCTCTCATAATCTGTGTCCTCTTAATTAGGATGGGACGGCTTAGATCCGGTTCTGGATCCACAGACCAGGCCAGCTGGGTGGGTAAACAAATGTAAATGCCAAACAGCGACATGGCCCCCCAGTGGGGAAAGAAACTGGCCAGGTAATTAAGAACAGGGAAAAAGCACGTGCATATGAATAACTGAAGAAAAGTGGATCGATAAATGTATGAAAGAACTTTTGCACAGAAAAAGTCCCAAATTGCAAAAATACTCCGAATTTACAGTAATTTTAACATATCTGAAGGCTGGAGGTCTTGATCAAGTCAGACAGCGGGCTATTCATATTTAACAATAAAAACTACAATTAAACTTTAAATCATGTTCCGTTTCTTCTAGTTAATGCCTTATTAGGGCAATGCAAGGCAGCTTCATACAGAGGCAATTCAGTGTGCTTTCCATTAGCATTAAATATTCCTACTATGTAATTAGGCTAATACACCCACATTTTATAGATAGAAGCCATTCATTCACAAATAAATAAAATTAAAGCTGCATTTGTGATGATTTCCATCAACACTCCGTCGTTTAGAGCAATTTATAATGAAATGTGAGATTTAAAAAACCCATTAGAAGGAAATATATGAATAATCCCACCTTAATCCCACCTGTTGAGCTGCTGGTACTGCGGCGATACTCTTCTTCCCTCTGAAATGTGCACGAGTTGCTCTCCTCTGACTGTAGGAAAGTGTGTATCACGGCGAGCTTGTGATCCTCCAGACAATCTCACACAGGTGGACTGATTTCACAAATGCTCATTGGCTGCTGGTGCAGTGAGCCGCTGAAGCAATGACATCACACTTAAATACCAGCAGGATTAAACCAGGCCACATTTGTGTTTCTAATTTAGTCTAAATTATTTAATCTTCTAGTCAGAGAAGAAACTAGAATAGTCCTCCTGAAGCTTCCACCGTGACTTGTTTATCGTCCACCAGAAGAAATTCTTAAGTTTCATTTTAATCTGTAGAAAATTTTAATCTTACATTTTTAATCAAAACAGGAAAGATGTATTAAAATACACAGTATGGATGTTTTCCAGTTATTTTTTTATTAAATTACAATCGTATGAAATGACCTTCCTTTTCAAAGTAATGGCATCAAGTCGTTGACGTTTTAAAATGCAAAATTTCTTCACTATTATGTAAAAGACAATAACAAAGCAGGCAAGTGTTAAAAGCCAGTAAAAATAAAACAGAGTCACACACCTGAGGATTCATACGGTGAGATCTGTCACTGAATATTGACCAAACGTATGCAAAGTGCTGCAAATGGGAGGCAACAAGCAGCGTTTCTACAGCTCATTCACACGTTTAAAGAGAGATGAACAGAATCATTTACAGTCTAGTGGAGTTCTCTTTTTGTGCTCGTTGGACTTTTAATAAAACCAAATTAACGTCCAACTAAAGGATGGATGTCTCCATAACTTGGCTAATTTTTTGTTCTTTTAAATTAATCCAACATAAGGGTTTATATTGTGTGAAATTACAGGATTAGAAGCAAGTAAAGTCTGTGCGGCGAATACGAAGATAAAAAACTCCACCAAAAATACCTTAAAAAGCTTCACCTGTCCAAATAAAACACAATCTGCCAGCAAACACGAAGTTTAGACAAAAAAATTAAATAAAGTAAAACACCAACGCTCCAGATGTTCTAAGGTTTCCTGGAGCATGAACACTTGTGAAATCATGGGTGACTGTATGATTTTTGACAAATAAAAACAAGACAAACGTGTTATCGATACATGAATACACTTCTTATTTCATTTTTATGGTAGAAAACAGATGAACATTTTATCTAAATAAGCCGAGTCTGAAATAAACTTTTAAGATGTAATAAAATAATTAATTCCCAGAAATTATTTGTCTCCGTGACAGGAAGGGAAAAGCTCTCAGTGTATTCTGGGAAAGCTGAATCTGCTTCCAGAACAACTTTGCTTTGTCTGTGTAAACATGGACTTCATATTTTTGTGCTGACGTCCATTTATTTTGATGTTCGGGTAGTTTAGGACTTTTTTAGGACAAACTTGACCTCACGAGTCTGTTTTGTGCTTAGAGAAAGTTTTAAACAGGCACTTTTAGCGTCACATTTTCCATCTGTGCTTCTAACTGATCTGAATATTTTCCAGAGGGGAGACAGAAGACAGAACGCCTCAGAAATAAACCAAAAAGACTGAAATCACAAACTCTTGTGTCGTTCTTTTTGTGAGGACTGACGGGGACGGGCTCTGATCGGATTCGTGTAAACGGTCACACCACTGACTCTGGGATGACAACGGACATGTTGGTCGTTTCTAGAGGAGAAGTGAGATCTTGATGAATTTTCAGTCACCCTGTTGGTTTCAGCTGGGAGGATGTGACATCAGAAGGAAAGTTTTTGTGTTTTGGAGGAAAGCCTCACCGTGATCAGATCAGATACACTTTGCTCCTTCAGGAAGACATCGGAGCTGCTTTTCAATGATGCACCGCAGGTAATTATACCTGAAAATATAAAAACATCGGGGGATAAAATGCCAACGTTAAAAGTTAACGTGTGAAGAGCCTTATTTTTAGCGTTTCTGGTACCTTCGTCTGAGTTTGTGGACCTCTCTGTCCTCCTCCTCCTTCAGCTTGGTGATAAAACTTTGAAGGACAGGCATCTCAAACTTGATATACTGCGCCACCTGGTGGACAAAACAAACCGCTGCTGCTTCAGTCCCAGCTCTGTATCAGGTAGAGTTCCAGTAGATGTTGTGATTTACATCATATGTGACTTCTTCACCCAAGTCTTCTTCCATGAGGAAAACTTTGCAGACCTGCTCACATGGACCCTGCATGACTCTGAGCACCAGAGGGAAGTCGGTCCGTTTGAGCTTCACACGCTCTGAACAAAAAAAACAACAACATCCAAACAGACATCAAATAAGTCACTCGATGGACTTCTATTGCACCTTTCACAGGAAAAGAAAAACACAAACTGCTTCACGATGCTCGAGACGGAGGCAAACGCACACAAAACTACAAAGACAACAGATTCTTGAGCCGAGCCGAGTTTGCACACGAGTTTAGGTGGAATAGCAGTCACTGGATGCTTCGCTCAGATAGAGCCGATAGCAGCGTTCATCCACCTCCAGCACTCTGACGGGTTATCCTAATTCTAAGTGACACCAGCTCCCACTAGGAAAACCCTTTACCTCCCATTAGAGAGGGAAGCTCTTTCCTCCCCGTTCATTATCACGTCTATCTGGTTCCTCCATCGGCTGACTTTGTAATGCTCTGTTTATTTGCCATGGAAAGGTATTTTGTGCTAGCATGTGTATGCTTGGAACTAGGGATGGGTACCTTTGACATTTGAATCGATTCGGTACTAATTGCCGGTACATAGGAATCGATACCGGTACTTTACGGTACCAATTTTAGATACTTTTGAGTGTTTATTATTTTAATTCTCCTTTATAATAAAATATATTTCTCAATATATAACCATATTTGATAAATATCACGATAAATAACATACAACTGTTTGTATTTTAACATCGTCCTTGTAGTTTTATAAGCTGATAATTAAACTGAAGCAAACATCTTTACTGTGAACTAAATTTACTGTGTATCTTCATTCCTTTTGCCGTCCTTTTTCTTTGATTTTTCCTACTGGGAGGTTAGAATTTCCGAGGAGAAAGCGAACGCACCATTAGCTGATAACAATGGTGGCAATGGAAGCTAACATACCAAGCTAACGTTATCTTAAACAGTTTATTTAGCTGCTGGAGCAGATTAAAACGATGATGCCTCACACTTAGATCGTTGTCGCTGGTTTCATCTTCACCCAATCACCCGTCGCATTTAGTAAAGTGAAGCCAAACTTTAGAGCGCGTTCATGTTCTTCTAGTCGTAAATTCATAGTTCCGAGGAGAAAGCGAACGCACCATTAGCGAAACGGAAGCTAACAAATCAAGCTAACGTTATCTTAAACATTTTATTTACCTACCGGAGCAGATTAAGATGAGGATGTCTCACTTAGATCGTTGTCACTGGTTTCATCATCACCCAGTTACCCATCACATTTAGTGAAGTGGACCCAAGCTTTAGCGTGCGTTCTTTCTACCATGCTGCTCTGTTTACACCTCGCTCGCAGCGACCGATGACATAACGCTCTTGCGCATGCGCAGCTGTCTAGGCAAGTTCTCGTTATGAAGGACGGGTACCGAAACGAGGCACCGTTTCAAATGACGTGAATCGGTGCTCAGTCGGTACGATGGAATTCGGTCGGTACCTTAAAAAGTACCGAATTCTGTACCCAATGCTAAAAGGTATTTTGTGCTAGCATGTGTATGCTTGGAACGATGAAAAGTTGGGCGAAAATACAGACCCACGCTGCTGGAAAGCCCCCATATGAGATCTACTCTGGTGAGGATTCACACTCAAACATAAAAACTGTCGCTATGTGCTTTTAGTAGGATGGATTCTGTTCTACGGTTGAATGCACCACCTGGAAAGAAGCAGCTAGAACAACAAAAGTGAGATGTAATTTAAGTAATGAAGACAACCAGAAACAAGCCGACTCACCTCCGCTGGCGTGGACAAGGTAGATCGCAAAATCGTCTGGGCTGTTTTCTATTTTGAACTTGTTGAGGAGGACTCGAAGCACTTGAGGTGTGGTCATGCAGCTGTTGATCCGAACATTCGTGACCGAACCAAAAGCAGGTGTAAACACTGCTGTCTGAAGAGAACAACAAAACATGCGTGTCATTTTTTATACTGTATTAGTGTACCACCACCGTTATAAACTCTCTTTAGGTTGTTATA